GTCAAGCGATCCTCCCATTTTAACCCTCCAGGAAGCTGGGACTATAGATGTGCAACACCACACCTGGCTAAATTTTACATTTTTTGTAGAGATGAGGTCTCACTGTATTGTCCAGCGTAAACTCAGACGCCTGCGCTCAAGTGATCTTCCCACCTCTATCTCCCAGTGTATTGGGTTTACAGGTGTGGTTTTATAGATATGAGCCACCATGCCCAACCTTTTTATTCATTTATAACAGCATGGACTCATAGGTGTTCTATGGGTTATATTCCAATGTTATAGTAATTTTATTGCTCAAATTGTTCCATCTTTGGCTATTAGAAGTTCTTTCAGGTGGGCTCATATGCTTTTTTGATACACCTCTCTCCCTGAAGCCCACTTTGAGCACTCTTTAATTTTTTGCACTGAAAGATGCTCCAGGCTTATCTTGTGTTATGTCTGCCACACTGTGGAATTGATCAGTTCTCTAAGGATCCCTGGTTTCTCTCATTAGACTTTATTTTATAACACTGTTTACTTTCCAAAAAAAGTGATTTGCCTTTAGCATATTGTACATTCTGGATTCAGATGATTGCTTCTTGTGTCATTTAACTACTTCTGTCCCTATGGTTCTCAAACTTTGCTGCATATTAGCATTAGCTAGGGAGCTTTAGGAACTTCACATACTCAGGTTTTATCCCACATCAGTTAAATTAGAATCTCAGGACTGAACCCAAACATGAGTGGTTTTTAAAGTTTCCCAGGTTTCCATTATGCAGCCAACTTGAGAACCACTGCTGTGTTTCTAGCTCCTCCCCTTTGCCTGTGTTGGTAGTAAGATCTAGACTAGAGGCTTGAATACATTCTTGACATTCTTGTCCAGGTTTTTTTGTTCTTTCTGTTATATCTTGCAAAGATCGAACATTGGATTCAGTTCTCTTCTTGGCTTCAGTGCTGCTCCTTCCATTTTGTACTAGTATATTTTTAACCATGCTCTCTCAGTTCCTCACATTTGCTTCTTGTACCCATTTTCAGGAATCAGTCTGAGATTCTCTTCTTGCTATTCTCTAATTATATTCATGAATGTGCTTTTTTTTTTTTTTTTTAATGGTGGCTGCAAAATTACCAACACCTCCCTCCAGACACCTTTTTCAGTGTCTCTCCTTTGACCTACAAGGACAACAAGCACAACACATCTAAAATTGAACTTGCCTTCCTTCAAACCTGCTTGTCTTTTGTTCTTATTTATTTATTCATTCATTCAGCACATATTTATTGACTGTCTGCTGTGGACCAGACCATATTCCAGGAACCAAAGATGCAAAATTGAAGAATAAACTGGCCTCAAGGAGATTTTTGCTTAATGTATTTCCTTCTGTATTCCCCATTTCACTGATGGCGTTGGAATCTGCCTGGACAGAGGCCTCTTTGATAGCCCACTCTTCATTTACCATCTCCTGTCAGTTTGCTGTGCTTCACTGATTGTTCTGTGTCATTCTGAATATTGAAAACTCAGCAATACAACTCTACCTTTGAGAGAGCTGGTATGGTCCTTAGAGTAATACTAAGTAGAAGGTGAATTCTGAACCAACCACTTAGGTCCATATGCCCCTAGACAGGTGACTAAACCTTGCTTACTCAGCGTGTAAAATTGGAATCATGATCACCACCTCAGCGGGTGGTTTGGGAGACTGATGCTGTAACTTGCTCTGCCTCTTCTTGTCCTGGTGAGTAGCACGACCATCTCTTCAGTTGCAGCATTCCAAAACCTGGACACCATCGTAGAAACTCCCCTTTCGTTATCCTGCCTTCTCATATCTAGTTATTCATTGAGTCCTACTATTTTTTATGTGTAAATATTACTCAGTTATATTTATGTTTAATAGTTTTCAAGACCTCATTTTAAATTACTATTATTATTTTTTGAGCCAGGGTCTTGCTCTGTCACTCAGGCTGAAGTGCAGTGCCACAATCAAGGCTCACTACAGCCTTTAATGTCCAGGTTCAGTTGATCCTCTCACCTTAGCCTCTCGACTAGCTGGGACTGTAGGCACGTGTCACAACACCTGGCTAATTTTTCTATTTTTTTATATAGACAGGGTCTCGCTGTGTTGCCCAGGCTGGTCCTGAACTCCATCTACCTGAGCCTTCCTAAGTGTTGGGATTACAGGAATGAGCCAGTGCACCCAGCTTCAAGCCTTCGTTTTTGCCTATTCAATTGTATGGTTTTGCCTATTCAATTGTAATGGTCTCCTAATTTTTCATCTCCCACCTGACCATATGATCTTTCTAAAGGCCATTTAGTTTTTTCTCTTTGATGCTTTAAACACACTCTAATGGTACCTCATGAAGTCCACAATCCATTGCCTGGCAGTTCTTTTCAACATCTTGCTCTGCTCTTTTTTTCAAATCGTCTTATCTCTTGTTACTCTTCTCTAACAACTTGTATTCTGACTAGGCTTTCCCATTTGTGTTTCCTAGGTTAACTATGCTGCTTCACATCTCTGCACCTTTGCCTGTCTTCTTTCTCCACACTCTGCCTGGCAGGTCTCTTGAGCCATGTTTCAAGGGCCACTTCAAGTCATACCTACCCTGTGGTGCATTTCCATATTTCCCTCAATATGTCCTTTGTCTTTCACTGTGCCATGTACTCATGTTCTATTATGGCATCATTGCATTTATTTCACTGCTTGCATTTGCAACCATCTTGATGAAAGCAGCATCTGTTACTCATTTTTTATCATCTTAAAACCCATTATAGTACCTAGCATATAATAAATACTTCTTTGATATCTGATGGACCAATATGTAAAAGTTCTAGAACAGTGATTGGCAGAAAATGAATGTCAGAAGATGCCTTGGTCATGACTCATAATGTTTGTGAAGATATTTAGCACATTGTTTTTCCCAGTTCATGTTAATTTCCCTTGCCAGAATAAAGTATAAATCTTTAGTGAGCTGTTCAAAACCCTTTATGCTCCTGTCCATCTTTCTAGGCTCTTGTCATTTCTCCTTCTTCAAATCATGTTTCCCATCTAACAAGTTTCTGATCTCTATCTCTGGTTGATCCTCAGCCTTTCCTTTTTGTTGGGAATCACTGCGCTAGATACCCACAGTTACTCATGTTCTTAGTGGAGCCACTAAGCAGAAGTAGGCAGAACCGCTGCTGTGAAAACCCTGTTTTCTAGTTTGATTGGACTAATTGTGATACTAACCTTGAACTTTCAATACAAAAATTTTCCCTTTCTCTGTAGCACTTACTTTTCATAATGTACTGTACCACTTACCATATTTTATTTTAGGTGTTATATGTCTGTTACCTACTTAGCATATAAATCATTTGAAGCAAATACTATGTTTTATTTGTCTTTGAAGTTCCAGCACCCAGAATATGAAATGTTTCTTGATTTGAATGAGTGGAGTGATAATGGGTTGCTCAGAAGAGGTCAGTATTTTCTAGGATATTGGGATGTTTTGAATAGCCATTTGAGAAGGCTGCTCTTGGTAAGGAGAATAGTGGGAGGAGTGGAAACAGTCACAGCAGCCAGCTGTTCCCGTTTGGTGAGCACATCTTATATTTAGGCACTTTACATGTACTGTTAACATGTTTAATTATCACAGCAACTTGATGATGTTGGTGCAGTAATTTTCCATCTTTAACAGATGTAGAAACGGAGGCACAGAATGGTTACGTGATTTGTGTGATGTTGTGTGGTTTGGGACTGTAGAACTTAAGGCGGTTATCACCGCTGTGCTGTACTGCCTTCTAGTGGAGCTAGAAGATTGGGAACAGTGAGAATACTGGCCCAGTTAGAGCACCATGAGGGTTCAGTGTACTCCAGGCTTCTCAAGAAAGGACTACAGGCTAATGATCTTCTTCCTGACAAGATTTATGACAATGGCTAAGGATAATACTTCTTAAAACTGTAATGTGTATACATGTTACCTGAGGATCTTGTTAACATGCAGATTCTAATTCTATTCTTTTTTTTTTTTTTTTTTTTGAGACAGAGTTTCACTCTTGTTGCCCAGGCTGGAGTGTAGTGGTGCGATCTTGGCTCACTGCAACCTCCGCCTTCTGGGTTCAAGCAATTCTCCTGCCTCAGCCTCCCAAGTACCTGGGATTATAAGCATCTGCCACCACGCCTGGCTAATTTTGTATTTTTAGTAGAGATGGGGTTTCTCCATGTTGGTTAGGCTGGCCTCGAACTCCCGGCCTCAGGTCATCTGCCTGCCTCGGCCTCCCAAAGGGCCGGGATTATAGTTGTGAGCCACCACATCCGGTCCGACATGCAGATTCTAATACTATAGTCTAAGATGGGGCCTGAGAGTCTGCATTTCTAACAAGCTCCTAGGGAAAAACCATGCTGCTTCCCCATGGACTCCATGTTGCATGGCAAGAGTTTGGAAGGTTCAGTCTGAAATATATTTTATATGGCACCATTAGATTATCATCTAGAAATTGTAAGAGGTTCTGTACTTTTAATTGGATACATAATTGTGAAGTTGGATGGTATGGAGATGCTGAGACTCTAGGCACTAATTCTTTATCCTGGATCTATATTAGAATCCCCGTAGTAGCTATAAAAACTACTAATGCTTAGGCTGTACTTGAGATCAATAAGAATATCTAGTGAATAGGTCTTTATATTTTAAAAAAAGTCTTCAAGTGATTAGCATGCGCTAAGCAAATAGATTTATTAAAACTCTTTTAGAACCTAGCCTGCTTCCTTGCATGTTAGTCAAGTTTGATGTCTGTGAAATACATTTTGCATCTTCAAAGTTTCTATGCATTGAAAATACCTTAAAATTGCCATAAAGATATGGCTAGAAGTTAAGCAAATCAGGTTTGTCATCATTACAGTGTTTTGATTAAGGCTTATATTATTGGCAGTCTATTGTTCATCTTTTAGGGAATAAGAAAAATAAAAATAATGCTTTTCCTTTTTTTCTTCCTGGTGAGACTGTTCTGAGAATTCTCATTGTACTTTCGTAACCCATTATTTTTCTCTTTCCAACAGGGATTTTTTGCCAGGTGGTAGGAGAGATTATACAGTCCAAGTTCAGTTGAGGTGAGTTTGAAATTTTCTCTTAACTTAATTTTGTGCTTGGTGAATTTTAAAACATATAAGAATGTTTGAGCACACTATTTAAGAATACTTTTTTTCTTTTATTAATACAGACTTTGCCTGGCAGAAACAAGTTGTCCTCAAGAAGATAACTATCCAAATAGTCTGTGTATAAAAGTAAATGGGAAGCTATTTCCTTTGCCTGTAAGTTGCCTTTTATTCACCAGATTTGCATATAAGTTTAATACAAACACTGACAAGGCCTAGAAACAGTGACAACTAAATACTAATGAACAGTTTTAGCCTCCAGATTAAATACTGTTTTCCACTAGAGTGATCCATGGTTTCTTGGATAAATAATAAATGGCTTATTTCAGGTCTGAAGGAGACGGAAAAGATGAGCCTGGAATATCTTTTTTTTTTTTTTTAAATTAAAGAGACAGGGTCCTGCTGTGTTCCCCAGGCTTGATTTGAACCTCTGGGCTCAAACAATCCTCCTACCTCAGCCTCCTAAGTAGTGAGAACTAAACAGTTGTGCACTACTGTATCTGGCTAGAACCTGGAGCAGCATCTTGCCTAACAAATCAAGGATGCTGTGAAACACTCTTGGGAACATATCAAACAGCATAGTTGAAGGGGAGGACTTGGGCAGTTTCACATACAGGATAGCATGTGTGGGATATCTGGATTAGCTGGGTTTGGCCTGTGGATGACATGGGGAAAGCAGAAGCTGCTGAGAGTGGCTGACTATAGAAATCAAGAATTTCCAGCTTGGGCCTTGATGATGCATTCACTTGTGGTGGTGGGTGGGTGCAATGATAGTTGGTTGACAACCCTTTTAAGCAGTGAGGCAGTATATGGGCTTCAGCACCTAGGATATATACAGTGTGGTTGCATACAGCCTGTTTCTGTCCTAATAGATGGCTTTTGACTCTTCAAATCTTGTTAGTCAAGTCTTAATAAAATAATAAATGTAGAACTGGACTATGTAATGGTTTCCATTGAGGCCTTGAATACATTACTAAGTTAGGTACCATTCCATAGAAGGCCAGCAAAGCCATAATCAAAAAAGTAGTACATGACGTTTGTCAAGCACTACAAAGTTGGAGGTATATTTAACTGTAACTGAATCTCTAAGAGAGCAGTGACTCCACCACTATGCCCAGTTGTCATTTCACCAGAGCTGACACTCTTTGCAGCTATTGAGAAAATGGGGAAACTTGTTTAATATCCCTGCTGAACACAAGACTGGGCTCTGGACTAATATATGAGCGATACTCATGAGTAGCTAAGCAAGTCAGGCGATATATATGGTCTAGGACTCTAGGCTCTACAGAGCCAAGTGCTCAGAATATTGCCTCAAAGTGAAGAAAGCCATAACCAGGCACTCTTGTCTTGTAGACAGAGGGATCTGACTTCTCTTGGTTGTCAGGTGTCTCATACACAACCTGTGGACCTAGAGACCTGAGAAAATACTTGCTTTGTGAATTTTACAGGGCTTGAGCAACACTGCATCACTGACTGACTCTTTGAAAGATACGTGTGAGACAAATCCGTTGAGACAGTCTGGGAGTGAAGGGTAATTGCAGAGGCTGAGTAGGTATGGTCAGGGAGGATTGCTTATATGGCCCACACCTGTTTCCCCAGGTGGGACATTTAGTCTCTCAGGTTTCTGGCTACTAGCAACAAGATTCTCAGGAGCTTTTTCCCCCCGCACGCCCCTGGTCCCCCCATGGAGTCTTGCTCTGTCACCCAGGTTGGAGGGCAGTGGTGCAATTTTGGCTCACTGCAACTCCACCTCCTGGGTTCAAGCAATTCTCCTGCCTCAGCCTCCTGAGTAGCTGGGATTCTAGGTGCCCCGCCACCAAACACAGCTAATTTTTATATTTTTAGTAAAGACAGAGTTTCACCATGTTGGTTGGCTGGTCTCAAACTCCTGACCTCATGATTCGCCCACCTCAGCCTCCCAAAGTGCTGAGATTACAGATGTGAGCCACTGCATCTGGCAGCTATCTTTTATTTGGATACTTGGCACAAAGATCTGAACCAAGGGAATAAGCAGCCCTACTTGGAGCTGAAAGATACCAGTGGGTAAGCACATGTGTGGGAAAGAAAGCCTAGCAAAATCAGAGATTACAGCACAATGCTGCGCACTTGTCTCATGGCCTTTTCATATCAATTTTTCTTTGCCTTGGATGTGCTAAGATTTCCTTTTTTTTTTTCTTTAAAAAAAAAAAAAAAAGGCTCTCAGTCTGTTGCCCAGGCTGCAGTGCAGTGGTGCAATCTCGGCTTACTCTGCAGTCTCAGCCTCCTAGGCTCAAGCGATTTTCCTATCTCTTTTTAGTAGCTAGGACTACAGTGTGCCTGGCTTATTTTTGTAGAGACAGGGTTTCGCCATGTTGCCCAGGCTGGTCTTGAATTCCTGGGCTCAAGCGACCCACCTACCTTGGTTTCTCAAGGTGTTGGGATTACCGGGGTGAGCCACTGCACCTGGCTGGTAAGATCTTTGACCTTTGACACTCATTGCTATTTGCCCCTCCCATTATCTATGATGAAAGATAAGACTATGGGGAGCTTTTTGGTGTCTGTGGACTCACCTCGGAGACTTATCGTGTATCATCATGTGACTGTGCCAGTGATGGGAGCTGCGTCTGAAATGTGTGAGGCTGTACCTAAACTCTTTGGCATTGCTATGGAAAATATGGTGGCTACAGATGTGTAAACATAGAAGTTACACAGAATTTCCAAATGAACCAGTCAGTGTCACATTTTGGGATGATACCTTCCTGTAGGAGGTCTACAGCACCACTACTGATGGCTTAGAGTTTGTCACTCTTTCAGTTCTTTTGAGGGAGAGAAAATTAGGCAATTGAGCACTTTCTCTGGAGCACTGTTACTCAGTTACTGCTGACTTCTGTCCCAAAGCACCCACTAACCCTTGATTACTTGTATTAGGCTATTTGTGAACATGCTGACTGCCACCTAAAGCACCCTTTGTCAGATGAGTCTGACATCCCTGGAGCCAGGGTCCTGTAGCATTTGCTCCATGGGCAGTTGTGAAGGAGGTGAAGAAATGGAGCACTGAGAGAAAGGCAAAGACATACTTCAAAAACAGAAGGCAGTGGGGAGGACTTGCCTGACTGTGATAGAGCCATCCCAAAGAAAATCAGATGGCTGCCTTTCCCAAATAGCCTTTTTACCCTAGCGCTGCCCAGCCCCCCCACCCCACCCCTGCCCAAGTCCTATAGACCAGCTGAAAGAAATTCACGTGCTTCTGATGGAAGACATCTTAAACCACCTCTTGATCCACAATTGCTGTTGATTGGAATAATGAAATATGGAGTCTTTATTAATGTTAAACAAGATTCTACAGTTTTTAAGAATTACATGAGCATGCCTTGGCCTCAGAAGAAAGCTCCTATGGGCCTATAGGAGTTTATTGAACTCTTGCCACCATAGAGAGCCTCAGGGACTTTGTTCCAGTTTTAAGAAGCACCAACAAACCACAAAAGAAGTTTGATAGGTGTTCCTTGCCCATGATCCTGGTGTGTTGAACCATGAATTCTGGAGGGATAAGCTTGAAACAGTTATGAATTGTCCATTAAAGCTCTGAATATGGTTGCATTTGTCCGTGTCCTGGATGAAGTCCTTATGTGTATGATATTACTGTAATATCCAGTCTTTATGGACCTGTGGCAGTTGACCACTATACTGCATGTACAGAGTAAACATAGGAATGGGAAATAGTATTATTTTGAAAATGGTAGCATGTCCCTAGACTGTTAAGGATCAAATAGTGATGCAAGCAGCATATGTGCTTTTTTACCTACATCAAGATGATGCGTTTTACAAAACACCTTCATGCATTCGTTTTCCAGCTTCCCTTGGTGGAGGGAAGACAGCAGCTCATAGCAGGGCTTGTGGGATGGTGACATGTAGCATGGACAGACAAGAAGTTGCTGAAGAGACCATCTCCCATCTTTGACTCCAAGGGCTGCGAGTGTACAGACTGACAGCCAGATGAGAACATTTTGTTTTTAATTGGCACAGGAAAGAAAAAGGCCCTCTTTGCTTAGGGAGTTATTTGAAGAAGCTGAATTATTTTTCTTTTGAACAATTTGTGAGAAATGTCTGTAAAACCTGTGTAGCTCTAAGATTGATGGAAGGAAGAAGGGTTTACAAGAATATCTCTTTGAAAGATCCCAAAGAGTAGAGAGGATATGTGCTGTAATTCAGCTGGCAGTAATCTCCAAGTAGTTCCTTTTGGTGCAGCCAGAAGGCTTATCAGTACTGGCCCCCTTCTCCTAATAAATTCTGTTTCTGAGCTCATGGATTTATGTTTCCTGATGCGGTGTGTTAGTCACCCTGATGGCTGCCTCATGGTAAATCTCAACTGACATAAACTCACCATTTCTTCTTTTAAAACACATGCTTGTGTCCACACTCACCCCAGTTTGAAGAAGCACCTCTTTACCAGAGAAGGGATAATTTTGACATTGGAAAGAATAATGACTGTAGTAGACTCAAAACTATCAAATATGTAAGTGTGTTTATAATAATTATACTAAAATAAACCACTGGAGGTTGCACTAATTTACTGCTCTGAAGGTTGATGAAGAAAGGGAATCATTCATTTCAAGGTGACCAGCTGTTGATGTGGTCAAGCCCTTTATGGAAACATTTTGGCTAATATAATCACAAGGGTAATAGACTAGAAAATCATTATTCCACAATTCATAATCCTATAATGGGTCTAGGGTAGCTATCATCAGTGGATGCCAAAGCTTGATGGGTAACTTTATAGTGGTGGGATCAGGCTGACATCCCCTGAACTCCTGATCAATCTTGACATCACTGAAAACAGGGCAAACAACCTTCTGTGCCTTATAATGTGGTACCATATGAAGTATGCAACATTTTCTGCGAAGTTTTCATGTCTAAAAATGTGAGCCACAATTTAATCAAGATTGTTTAACTATTGGTTTTAAATATACAAAAATATATATGGGAAGTAGAGCAACAAAACCTTATACTTCGAGGAAGCGGTATACCTAATCTAGAATGTGAAGTCATTGTTTAGGTCAAAAGTCCTGGTTTGTCCAATAGAACAACAGCATTGGGGAAAAGTGTGAGTGAGTGGAGATGGTGGGGGTTATGTTTATAGAATAAAGGAGACTTCAGAGACATAATTAAGTGCAGTGTAGGGCTCTAGTTTGAACTCTGAGTCAAGCTGTAAAAGGACATCTATACTAAACTATATTTGGATAAAACAGAAAATATATCTGAGATTTGCTTTAAAATAATCAGGAGTGGGTAGAGTAGGTAAAGATTGTTCATGGGTAAGTAAATTACTGAACTGAGAGCTATATGTGTATTATACTTTTTTCTCTACTTTTGTATATGTTTAAAATTTGCAGTAATAAAAAGATGAAAAGAAATTTTGAGGCAGCTGGGAAATCTGAATTGAAAGACAAGGTATTAAGTGATTTTTTTTTTTTTTTTTAAGACGGGGTTTTCCCATGTTGGTCAGGCTGGTCTTGAACCCCCGACCACAGGTGATCTGCCCGCCTTGGCCTCCAAAGTGCTTGGATTACAGGTGTGAGCCACCACGCCCGGCCATGGTATTAGGTGATTTTTAAAAATTGTGGTTATTTTTGTGGGGTTGTAATACTGTGGTTTTTTTTTTTTTTTTTTTTTAATGTCTTATTAGAAATGCATGTTAAATATCTGTGGGTTAAATGACATGTCTAGAATTTGAATTTAAATACTCAAGGGCATAAGGAAATGTGTGTGTTTTAGGGCAGATTGACTTTGGGGTCAGAAGCATTTGAAACAAGATTGGCAGCTTGTTGATAATTATTGAACCTGATTGGTGGGTTCTTGCTATTTGTTCCTTTCTTGTGTATGTTTGAAAATTTCTGTAAAGTAAAAAAGTAAATCTGTGTTGTAAGTATTCAGGTAGTAGTGGTAATTGGAAAACTTGGAGGAAAATGTTAAAGTACAATAACTGTGGATGACTTTTGTCATAGCTGCAAGTAAGGTAAGATGTCATCAGAGCATGAAATATAAAAAATTATTTGTGTCATAGGACCGCCATAAAGTCTTCTGCTGGTGCTGTACAGCGGCCTTTGCTCAGAAAGCTTGTAGATTTGCTCCACTGGTTCCCTGTCACATAAACTTGACTTTATTTTTGCTTTAATATGGAAAGTTGTTAGAAATATGTGTGAAGGCTAAAATTTGTTTTATAAAATTCCAACTATTAATATATTCTCAATAACCAGGAAATTGATGGTTGGGTAGGGGTGATACTGATGGTTAGAAATAGAATACAAGTTAACAGATAATTCATAATTATCAGTAAAGTCACACAACTCAAGTGGAACACAGGATAGATTGAAAACACTTTACACTGAGCAAGACTAATATGATTCTGAATGTACTAAAATTTCATTCTGACATTGGCTGTTATTCTCCCTGCTTTGCCATCCTTTTCTATTGTGTCAGAATGTCTTATGTCTTAAATTCTAATTTCCAGAGTGTGCATTTTAGTTTATGAGTTATTTTTATCCTCCTGGCAGACCCTGTATTGTCATTTTTAATTGTTTAACCTACCAGTGAACATACCAACAATTATCTTCTAGGCCCAAAACAGGCAAAACAAAAGTTTCGTTCAAAATTGCCTAGATACTGGTATTGATATTCCTTGTGCTTGTCGCTCATTGAATCAACTCCTGGAGTCTGTATAAGGGGACTTTTCTTAGGAGTTGTGGTGTTTTGTTTTGTTTTGTTTTGTTTTGTTTTCTTTTGTTTTGTTTTGTTTTGTTTTCTTTTGTTTTCTTTTGTTTTCTTTTCTTTTCTTTTCTGAGCAACTTTTTTTTTGTTTCTACTTGAGCAACTTAAAATGGGCATAACCTTCCTACATAACACACACACTCACACATACACACACACACTCTTATCTCTTTCATTTCTATATTATAACACAAGTTATTTAAGTCCTACTCTGTCTTTTACTCTCCTGCTCAAACTTTTTAGTGATTTTCAAAATTTGTTGCAAGTTATAGATTACACATTATCAGGTAGACTCTCACTTAATAATCACTGCCTTCATCTTATGAGACAGTAAAGGGTGTTCCCAGGTTGTGGTAAACAGGGTGTGTTCCTCTGCCATGTGATACTACTAGTACTATTTTTAATTAGTCTTAAGGTGCAGATTTTAGCATTGCCGAAATCCAGAAGTGTATTAAAATTGCCGGTGACCAGGTGTCAGCTGTGATGTATTATCATCGCCTGCACTTGTACAACTTTGATGTTATTGCCATGGCATGACTGGTTAGCTGTACCACCTTGGCATTTCATTTAACAGATAATTTAAGGACATTTCGAGAAAGAAGTATGAATCCTGGCTGTTGTCTGAAAACTTTTTATTGATGCATTCCCATAAGATCCAGATCGTATCCCCATTAACACATCCAGATAAGGGTGTCAGTGACTTACAGAGAAATCTGAGACGTTAGTGGAATGGAATACAGTTTTAAAAGATACTTTCTCTCTAAAGTTCGTGCTTGCACATAGGAGAGTGTCATGTGGAAAAATGTGTGCATTAATGACTGAGAGAAAAGTAATTCAGAAGATGCTTCTGTACAAAAGGGAATATGTTAATTCATTTTGCTTACATTTCTTTGCCATATATACAGAAATAAGTAATGATGCTTTCTCATTAGCACATAATTAAATTACATCAATGACATCTTAGCATGTGAAATATGGTACCTAATTTTCAATATGTAGATCATTTTGGAGCTAAGACATTTTAATTTTTTCAAAAAATGTATGATTTTGGTTTTGAAATATCAGTGTGAAGTCTTGTGGTAATTGATAATTGGATATACATCTAATCAGAAATGAGTACACTTGCTATTTGAAACAAACCTTGATGACTAGATAAAAGTAGGTTAAAGCATGAATAGCAGTATTATGGTAGCCATCAAACTAATTTAATGACAATTAAAATGTTGATTATCCTTATTTGTTAACTTGACCTGGTTTAAAAGATTACCATTTCTGTTCCACCCAGAGAAAGGGCAGGGGAAAGTATTTTTATCATTCACCAGATTTTACAAAGGAAATTCGTTAGTTTGTTATTTCTCTCCCCACAATTTCCAGTTTGCTTTCTGTCTTTCCCACCCCTGATATATGAAAGTATTTTGAATGGGGACTGCTAAGGATGAATCATTACAAAAAGTTGTGATTTTGTCTGTAAAGCTTGGTGTCCTGTAAAAAAGGAAAAGGATTCATAGCTAATGTGGCAAGATGCCAGCATCTTTAATTTTAATGATGGAACATGGATTTGTTTTTTCCTACCTCTCTGGACTTGTGAAATATTTTATAACTTTTTTTCAAAGGCTATTTTCCTATTTTGTTTGATAATCATAATAAGGGCTATATGATTTTCAGGCTAAAATAAAAATAGTGTAACTGAAATTGGGCAGGATCCTGTATCTATCTTGGAGAAAATGTTTAATTTCTGCAGATAATTTGAAATAATTTTTCTCTCCTACGGTTGTAGGGCTACGCACCACCACCTAAAAACGGGATTGAACAGAAGCGACCTGGACGCCCCTTGAATATTACATCTTTAGTTAGGTTATCTTCAGCTGTGCCAAACCAAATTTCCATTTCTTGGGCATCAGAAATTGGGAAGGTAAAGACTCTCCCTTTTGGGTAGCAGGACAGTGACCCCGCTGGGGGTTGACTTACTGTGTTTTTTCTTAGGCTTTTGGCTCCAGCTCTTTTTGTTTTCAGATTGTAATCTCTAAAAAGCAATAATTTTCAGTTCAGAGGCAACAGTGTGGAGATTCTTAAAGTTAAAAACTTTAACTCTGAGCTTTCCTGAGTATCATCTCTTTATTTTCCTGGAAAGAAAATATGCATATTTATATTTCTGAAGGTAATGGTTTAACCACAGTTGTGTGTATGTTTGTGTTTAAGTAGTATTTTAATAAACTAGAGGCTTTGGATGATAAATATTTATGAAGAGGAACAAAGAAAGCTTTATCAGTTTTGGGGAGAAATGGTTAAATGTACACATGTTGTGATTAGAAATAATCTGTTTTAGCCTTTATATAAACAACTGATATCTCAGATAACATGTGATTATCTTGTATAAAAATATTTACTTAGAATTATAATATTTTCTTTAAACCTTCAGGTTGATGAACTTTCTGCCGATTTTTGGTCTTATAATAAATTATGTCAATTATGAGATACCAGTTAATACAACAAGGAATTTATGTTTTAGAATTACTTGCTTATATAACTAAAATAATGAATAGAAAAGAGAGTTCAGTTAATTTCTGTCAGCTTCAATGTTACTATTACATGAAGCATCAATTTCAGTGTTCCTGTTACATGTTCCTAAATGGAATAATATTCCTGTTTTATGGATGGAGAAATTGAGGTACTTTACAGACAGTGGAATAAATGATTATAGACATTGAAAACTTGGCAGTTTTGCCATATAATGGCAATAATACTCTTTCCTTATAATTAAAATGATTAATTGACCTAACATTTGTACCATAAGTTGGGCATTTAGAGATTTAAAATAATATTTAAAATATTTAAAATACTAGGTTTGGCAACTTTTAAAAGTTTTATGTTTATTGTAGAATCAATTGAATGAATATATTTAATAAAATGGGAAGATAGGTTGTTTTAGCATTTATGTAAAATTATATGTCTCTTCGTAGCTCTGTAAATAGCTAATGAAGGTTCCTTTGTGCCAGATCTAAGAGATATAGGATTGGATGCTGTTGTTTTCTGGCCTTGACTTTTTAATTTTTTCATTTCTTCATGTGCCTAACATACTATAGTAGCTGCTGCTTGTCAGTAAAATACCCACTTGGGATATAGGAGTTAATTTATCAAAGCTTTCCTCAGAAGAAAGCTGAGACCTGGTTCATTTGAGTGATTTACTCAAAGGCCATGTAGCAGGTAGTCTCTTCTGCCAGAATTAGAACTTTGAAACTCTGGGTTTGAAGTGCTAATTCAGACCACTGGCATTTGAAATTTGTTTCTGCAGTGGAACTCCGCTTTTAAGTGAAAATATGAGAGCCCTGTTATATAAAATCAATAAAAGCAGAATGACTTTGTTTAGCAAGATTCTGGTTAGTCATAGGAGAGTGAATTTTCAGGGTGACCCCTACCCAGTTTTGCTAAATCAGAACCATAGATTAGAAACTATTGATCTGACCTATGTTCCCATACGAGTGGATGTTTTGAAATGGTAAGTGATCAAGAAATACCTTTAAAATGATTGAATGTTTATTTTCACTGAAGTAGCTTGGTTGATTTTGTCCCCTTTGCAGTCATTGACCATTCCATGGAAGTTATTTTGAGTGTTATTTTTGGAAATCAGGGCTTCTTAAATAAGCCTTTTATGTAAATAAAGAGAATATTATCTCTCATCTTTAATGCAGGTTTCTTTTTGTTTGTAGAATTACTCCATGTCTGTATATCTTGTACGACAGCTTACGTCAGCCATGTTATTACAGAGATTAAAAATGAAAGGTATTAGAAACCCTGATCATTCCAGAGCACTAAGTAAGTAATGTTTATAAGACCAAGCATTTTTTTAAAAAAAAGATCGAGCGTATGAGATGCTTTAATGCTTTGAATATTGCTCACATCAATATTTATGTTACTATATATTTGTTAGCTCACATACATAGCAATTTATATACGTTACTGGGTATGTAAAATTATAGACACATTATCATGTACATAGTAGTTTTAATTGTCAAAGAAAGTAGAATTTTTTTTTTTTTTTTTTTTTTTTTTTGAGACGGAGCTTTGCTCTTGTTGCCCAGGCTGGAGTGTAATGGTCCGATCTCAGCTCACTGCAACCTCTGCCTCCCGGGTTCAAGCGATTCTCCTGCCTCAGCCTCCCGAGTAGCTGGGATTACAGGCATGTGCCACCGTGTCCGGCTAATTTTGTATTTTTTAGTAGAGACGGGGTTTCTCCATGTTGGTCAGGCTGGTCTCAAACTCCTGACCTTAGGTAATCCACCCATCTCAGCCTCCCAAAGTGTTGGGATTACAGGTGTGAGCCATTGATACTTTTATCTTTTCTGTTTACAAATTTAATAATTGCTGGAAACAATACTGTCTAATAAAAACTGTGGTGACTGTGTGTTGGAAAAGCTTTGAAGCCCAGGGTACTGCTGCATTCCAGCTTCCTCTTCTAATTGTTGTTCTTAAGTGTTAGCTTTCTATTTTGAAAGTATTACTTACCAGCAGTTTTACTTTTAAAAAAATTTTAAGAATTTAAATAAATAATTTGCATGTTCATAACTCTTTAACCTATATTGGGAGTGCAACTGTGTTTTTTAACACATTAATATTTAACAGTTTAAGATGCTGTATATTTCTATAATTTCGTTTCTTTGTCACCATTAATTTTTTTTAATTTTAATTTTTCTTTTCTCTTCTGTATAAAGTAAAGGAAAAACTTACTGCGGATCCTGATAGTGAAATCGCTACAACTAGCCTTCGGGTATCCTTGATGTGCCCCGTAAGTAAAGCAACAAAACATTCTGGGGAATTTAACTTTTTAAAAATTATAAACTTTCCTATAAAAGTAAGTTTGTCAATGAATGCTATATTATGATAGAAGTCTGACCTTTTGTCTTTTCCCGTTAAGGAATCTTCATGATTGAGTCACAATTCTTTGTATTGTTTGGGCAAGAAGGAAGATAGCTTTAGGCTCAATGTAGTCTCTTATAATTAATGTTGTAGATAATCCACAGCTAGTAATAAAACTATATTAAGAGCTGGCTTCTTTTGTCAGAATATAAATGATACTGAAAAATAGCAATAAAGTGACTAGGGCCTGATAAATACTAATTGATGTGTTGGTTTAGTGAGTTAGGATGTGTAGGATGTCTTTGTAATGTTCTTTTAAATTGCACAATAATTTTTATTTTATATCTCCTTACATAGAAACTATGAGGGAGAAATCAGTCAGCAACTCTCAGATCCTCCTGTGCGCTCGCCACTGAGCTAATTGTGGGAGAAAATATTGAGGCTTACTTGGAATGTTAATAATTGAGTTTGAAAAATAAAACCAACTCCAGTAACAATGGAGCAGACTTCACTTACAGTTAGGCTATTATAGTACCAAGAAGACATGGGAGGGGTCAGGAGCAGTGAATGAATTGGAGGGGAACCTTTTCCAGTTTAGAAGAGCTTAATGAGAAAAGTCATGGAATCAGGTATTTATAATGTAGTTTTGTGGGCATTTGATGACTACCCACCATTTTGATAAATGGTGTCAGAAAGAAAAGAGAATTATTTGTTGAGTTTCCACAGTATATTCTTTATTTAACTGTCTCAGCAAACCTGTGTGGAGGAGTTGTCTTCATTTGTAGATGAAGAAACAGAGACTGAATGAGGTTGGCTAACCCAAATTACACGATGGTAGAACAAAGATCAGGATTCTGGTGTTCTGACATTCCTGTTCTCTTTCCAGTATACCATGCTGCCAGACTGGTATATAAATGTCCTGATTACAAGTATATTTCTTTTATTCTGGAAAGTGGTATTTGTACATCTTTTTTTGAAGCTTTACTTTTTTTTAATCTTCATTAACTTAAACATGTGAACTTGCCTTTATTAAAATAGAATTTTTGGATATCAGGATTGCTTGGATACTGGGAACCTGCTCTTACCAAACGCAGGGAAAAGGACCGGAAAGCCCTGAGGGTGGCGGCAGAGGCTCTAGGAGGCATGTGGGAGGATCCACAACCTCCTCTGAGCACAAGCTCTATGCAGACCTTCAGGCATGAGTTTTTTTCAGTGTCTTCATGTTATCTTTTTCTTCTCTCTCATATTAAAATTGATAATAGATTGAAACAAGTGAAATTGCCTTTTTGTTGGTTAAAAAACAGTTGGATATTGACCATTTTTTATGATGTAACTGTAGTAGGTTCAAACATTAATTGCCAGCTCAATTCCACATACAGTCACTATATGCAGAGGGAACTCTTGTCACCATCATGTTTTAGATGTCAAACCATTGTATCAGGAAAAAAGTCTTCTACACAACTTAGTTTTACAGTTGTGTAGTGCCATTTTCTTAGAATCTTTAAAATTTTTTTTCTTCACATGGCTATTCTACACAAGAGCAACCAAAACAAAATGCAATGGCTAAACATACTAAAGGATTCTCAGGCTTTTTGGGGTTTTTTTTTGAGACAGGGTCTCTGTCGCCCATGCTGGAGCACAGTGGTGTGATCATGGCTCACTGCAGCTTCGAGTTCCTGGGCTCGAGATCTTCCTTTCTCGGCCTCTTGAGTATTAGGAACTACCGCCACACACCACCACACCTAGCTAATTTTGGTGTCTTTTGTAGAGATCTTTCACCATGTTCCCCAGGCTGGTCTCAAATTCCTGACCTCAAGTGATCTGCCCACCATGGCCTCCCAAACTGCTGGGTTAACAGGCATGAGCCATCTTGCCCAGCCAAACTTTAAATAACAGTGAAAGTAATGTATCACAGAGGTTAGAATTCCTTCTATGTAAGAATAGGGAGCAGTTCCTTTCAAACATAACAATATTAAGAAAATTGACTTTTCAATTATTTGAAGAAATGAAGTAACAGATCAAATAGGCTTTTGAAATCTTGTTTTATGTTTCTTAAATGTCTTTTTCTCTCTGCTTAGAAGTGACAAAAACTCTATTTGTGAGACTGTCTTTTGAGCTTTTCCTCAGGGTTCATTCTACCTGATCTTTTCAGTGCATTTTCTTGGAAAAGAATGAATGGTACTCCTTGGGCTATAGTAGTACTATTAACATAAGTTGGGTAGCTAAACTATAATATGTGGTATATTTAATTAGAATACAAAACAGGTGTTTTTATTAGATTTGGTGGATGGATGACACAAGTTAGATGATGAAAGCAGTTTTTGAGTCAGTCCTATTATCAGTTGGAGAAAGCAGAATGGAGTCCAGCCAGTTAACAATGGAGATAACATGGGATCTGCTGCAGTAATGGGAAATGGAGAAGGAAAAAAAATATCCCAGAATCCCAGGCACTTGGATAAGAAGTTAACCCTGGGTTATTTGGCAAAACCAAGAGAAACTAATAGCATAGGGTGATAGAGAAGAAACGTTTATTGCATTTCACAATATTTTTGTAAAGTGATTTGCAGTAGAAGTGAGTCTGAGTAGTCGGAGCAAATTCTAAAACCTCTGTCCTTGGAACTAAAGGAAGGTAATATCACAGTAGTTTTATTGAAGAGGGATCTAATTGAGTGTGCATAATCATATTCCTGAACGCAGTATCTGAATTTTACATGGGAGTTTGACTTTGGTGATTTCAGCTAGTGATTTTCAATCTGTCCTGCAGAGGTGGGCTAGGTAGCTGGGGAATAGAAAAAGAAAGCTAGGTTTGATTTTATCTCTTGAGATTCTAATATGTTTAAAAAAAAAAAAAAAAAAAGTTCTGCTGTAAATAGTTGGAAACCACCAGTTTGGGCCATTCCAACCTAAAAACTCTCTTAATTTAGATTGACCGTAATTAGTCTACAGTGAATAGAAGTTAGATAATGCCAGCTTAAGATTTTATAAGAAAAAAGTGTTACATTGCTTAAATACCACTTCATTCATAAAATTAATAAGTTTCAAAACATCATCATCTGATTAAATTAGAATTATAATTTATTTTAATGGCGTATTCAGGTCCTTTTTAATAACATGCCATAGTCACTAGGAAATTGATACAGTTTCACTAGCTAGTAACAAATGCCTTCTTAGGGGATGCTTATTAACTGTTATAAGACAACTAGCGTAGGATTAAATTTAGAATCAGCAACTTTTATAGTCCTGGATATTCTCGTTTCTGTATGCTGTAGAAATTTAAAGGCAGTAAAGAGAGATAGAAATGGCATAGAAGAAAAAGACAAAAACAACCTGAAACAGCAGTTTGCAAAATGGATACCTGAAGGTCCCTGACACTCTTTGAAGAGGTCTATAAAGTTAAAACTTTTTATAATAATACTGACATATAATTTTGGCTTTTTGTTCTTGTTCTCTTATGAGCATAAAGTGATGTTTAATATGGGTTACCTAATAGATGATGATGATATTGCACTGATGTCTAATGGAATGTGTTTTTGTGTACTCTTATCTTTTAAAAATATGTTTTAATTTCAAATATACAAATATTGATAAATACGGTCCACATACATAAGCCTTTGAGGTCTTTTATTTTTTTTTATTTTTTATTTTTTTGAGACAGAGTTTCACTCTTGTCACCTAGGCTGTAGTGCAGTGGCATGATTCCGGCTCACTGCAACTTCTACCTCTCAGGTTCAAGCTATTCTCCTGCCTAAGCCTCCCAAGTGTGCCTGCCACCTCGCCCTGCTAATTTTTGTATTTTTAGTAGAGATGGGGTTTCATCATGTTGGCTGGACTAGTCTCGAACTCCTGACCTCAGGTAATCCACCCGCCCTGGCCTCCCAAAGTGCTGGGATTACAGGCATGACCCACTATGCCTGGCCAATATATTAATTGTTAAGAGCCTAAAAGAGTTCTGATTTAACTTTTGGCCATAATGCAAATAAAGAGAAAAATAAATAAAAGTGTTCTGAAACCAAAAGTTTAAGAACTGATAACGCATAAAACCCACAGTAGGCTGAGTTAGAACAGTATTTTGAAGAAAAAATTTTAAAAATTGACAAATAATACCTAATTTAAAATTATTCAGATATAACTGAAAAGTAAAAATGATAATTTAAAATTCACAAGATCTGTTATTCAAAAATAACGTTACTAGTAGCATGACAGATTTTTCTGGATTTAATTCTCTATATTATAATTATATGTATGTTTATTGGAAAATATGTATACTGTTCCATGGCCTGCTATTTTTTTAGTTAACAGTGTATCTTAAGTATATTAGTATGTGTAGACTGGTCTTATTTTCATCATTGTGAGCATTTTGTTGAATAGATATAGTATAATTTTATACTATACTATATCTATTCAACAAATATAGATATACTATACTATATAGATATAGTATAGTATATAAATATAGATATACTATACTATATCTATCCACCCCCACCTAATTTTGTATTTTTAGTAGAGACGGGGTTTCTCCATTTTGGCCACGCTGGTCTCGAACTGCCAACCTCAGGTGATCCGCCTGCCTTGGCTTCCCAAAGTACTGGGATTACAGGCGTGAGCTACCGTGTCCAGCCAACATTCATTTTTAATAGAGCAAAACTTAGCAAAAGAGGAAAAGGTGGGTAATTAAAATAAAAGACTAACACCATTTGTAATGTTACAAAACTAGGACATTAGGAACATTTGGATTTGTGGTATAGCTCCATCAGTTGTGTCTCAGTGAGTGTGTGGTTTTAGTCTCTTGTAGCTTCAGTGTCTTCATTTCAGAACTAGAAATTTAGATAGCAGCTTTTCTGGAGTCATAGAGTTATGAAGATTATATGAGATTTATATAAAAGCCTTGGGCATGCTGTAAGAGATAATTTGTTTTTAAAGGAAGGAAAAACAGAAAGATGTATCATAAGAAGAGAAGCTGCCCAGGTTTTATTCTGAACTTTTTTTGTTTTAAGTGATTAGTTATATTGTGCTACGTACCTTGATTGAATCACAATAATTTTTTTGTTCTAAGTGATTAGTTAAATTCTGCTACGTACCTTGATTGAATCACAATGATTTTGAGGATCCCTTTTAGAACTCTGGTGAGACACTTAGGTAGAGACAGTATAGTAGTGATGAGAGTGTGGACTCTGCAGGGCTGGAGCTTCCCAGGTCAGACCTTAGCTCTGCCGTTTTCTAACTTTGTTATGTTCAGTTACTTAGCTTCTTTGTGCCTTAGTTTCCTTATTTATAGAATGGGAATAATAATTATATCATCCTTTTAGTGTAATTGTTACGTAATTGTAAAAGCGTTTTTGAAATTAATGTGAAGTAGCCAACGCTGTACCTTGCATGTAGGTGGAACTGTATAAATGTTACTTCTGTGTTGATGGTTCAGCTAAATTATTATTTTTTAATTACAACACTACCAGGTGTTCATTTTAGAGGAATTAGAAATCACAGATGAACTAAAAGAAAAAGAACATCCTAAAAAGCCTACCTCCCAGGCAGAGCTAAGAATGTTTTAATTTTGCTGTGAATTCTTCCAAACTTTATAGCATAAAAAGAGGCCTGCCTCCCTTCCTTTCCTGTTTGCTGTTTTCCCCGTTTCCAGTCCTTCTCCATTCATTTTCCTGTCTGGTCAACAAATACTGAGCACATACTATGAGCTAGTATTGTGTTAGGACAGTGAGATTCAGTGATGAGCAGAAATCTAGACAGTCTTTTTGGAGCTTTGAGTTCTAGTGGGAGAAACAAATTTTCAGTCAAAATAGCAGGACTGGTTATAAATAGAGATATTTTCTGTAAAGGAAATATATGAGGAGGTTTGAAGGATTATGTAGGAAAACCAGGTCTAATAAAATCCAGATGTTGTGTATGTCTTGGTGCCAGTGGACCACTAGTAGTTGGAATAAGAATTTAACAGACCACTAGAGTTAATCAAAAGTATATTGAAAAATTGACACAGTTGATTAAAAATAAAAAATTTTCATAAAATTTATATTTGCAGTTCATATTACACACAAGAGGCTAATTTCTTGTATAAAGAGTGCCTATAAATAGATAACAGAAGATTAATAACCGAATGGGAAATGAGAAAAGGCTATAGGTGGAAAGTTTTTAGAAACACAAGTGACTCTTAGAAATAAAAGAAGAGGATCAACTACCACTTATAATAAATGTAGTTCACAACTATAATGAGATATTTGTTACCTTCCAGATTGGCAGAGATCAAAGAATTTAATAGCACTGTATTGAAAAGGTCAAGTGGAACCAAGCACATTAATACACATGTATGATAACCCAATAGGTACTTTTTGTGGAAGATAGTATGTTAATGTGACAAAAATTACAAATGCACTTTTCTTTTCACCCAAAAGTTTTACTTCTAGGAATTTCAAACATTATAATATAAATATTATAAATATAGAAATCTTAGAAGCATTTATTATAGCATTGTTTGTAATGATAAAGGATTGGAAACAATTTAAATGTCCGTCATTAGTGTACTGGTTAAATTTAAGTTATGATGCCTTCATATAAAGGTAGCTTTTTACATATCGATTTGTGTGCAGTAGGCACCAAGTTATATGACAGAAGTGAGTTGGAAAACAATGTGTATTGTATACCATCGTTCCTGGAAAAATATTTCTTTAAATACACACTTGGTTTGTGCTTAGAACATCTATGAAAGGACATTGCAAGAGATGGATGACAGTGGTTTTCTAGATAGGAAAACTGGGAACCAGGTAAGAAGGAGTCATATTTTCATTATATATGAATCTGGATTTATATGTTACCTGTTTTGGAAAAGTGAAATGGTTTTTCAAAATTCATAGGGCAATCAATGAATAAAAATAAATTATTGTAATCTTCATGGGAATGCACTCTAGTTTGGATTTTTAAAATTTTTGTCTTCTTGTAAAAGTCTGAAGCCATGATACAACTGACCACGTTCCCTTCGAGCTCATTACCCTTTCTGAACTAGTTTTCCATGTTGTTTCCTGTCCTGTAGTTAGGAAAAATGAGGCTGACAATCCCATGCCGTGCAGTGACTTGTACACATCTGCAGTGTTTTGATGCTGCCCTTTATCTACAAATGAATGAGAAGAAGCCCACCTGGATTTGTCCTGTATGTGACAAAAAAGCTGCCTATGAAAGTCTAATATTAGATGGGTAAGTATATCCCTTTTAACAGCTGATACGGCCTAATACAACAGCTGTTGGCAATGCCTTTGTTCAGTACAACTAAGTGAACTAAATTACAAATAAATTCTACTTTAGCATAAATCCAGATGTTTGTATGTTTTCTGTCTTACACATAATTATACCTGATCTTATTTTTTAAACTGTGGTTAGTGGCATTTTTATCTTTATAATGTGATTTGTGTTGAGGGCAATGTTTTTGCTTTCTAAGATTATATTTTATAAAGCCCAAAGGAAAGAGGGAAAAGTTTGCTTAGTGATGTCATTTTGCTTACCTAGAATTTCTTGAAGTGGCAAGTAGGGTCTGTGCAAAAACCAGAGGAAGTGATAGGGTAGATACAGACACATTACATAGCTCTTAAGTTCAAAACTGGAGTTCATGCCCAGGTGTTTTTGACTCTGGAGTCCAAACTGTTAAGCATCATCTCCATATTATATTGCATGTCAGAGTTTGGAAAATGACATGAGCTAATTTTTATTAAGTATCTTTTTTTAAAAAAATTGCACGTCATCCATGTATCGTGTAAGATTTAGAAAATACAGTTAGTGAAAAAATGAAAATAAAATTAACAATCCTGTCCTATGGTGATGACTTTGTTATTGACATATTAAAAAAGATACTTTATGTAGTGATTTATATTAATATATACATATGATTTTTACTCAATATGTAGTGAAAGTATCCTAGATCTTTAAAGATGCTTGTACAACTTTAAAATGTTTTAAGCCACACACTGTGGCACATGCCTGTAGTTTCAACTACACAGGAAAGTGAGGTAGGAGGATCACTTGAGCCGAGGAGTTCAAGGTGAGCCTGGGCAACATAGTGAGTTGTATCTCTAAAATAAACAACAAAAGTTTTACAAGAGTATTATCTGTGGAGAAAAATGGGGAATGAAGAGTGAATGGTACTTTAACCTTCCTCTCTGAACTTTTCCTTTGCTGACTTTTTATTTTTAGCCTGTTTTGAAAAAATTTCAAACCTACAGAGGAGTTGAAACAGTAGCCCAAAGAACCTGCCATGTAACCTTGACCTAGATGCATCAGTTGTTTACATTCCTACCACAGTTGTTTTATCACTCTCTCCGTTAATATGTGTGCATATACACATTTTTGGTGTGTGCATTTGTGAATGTAGGGAGAGATGATTGTTAATATTTTTAGAAGCTTTTGAAACATTTGAGAGTTACATATGTCGTCCCCCTTTGTACATTAATATTTGTGATATGTTTACTAAATTCTTGATACTCCATTTTTGTTTCTTCTTTTTCCATTTAAAATTGCCCTGTGATGTTAACATTTTTGAAGGTGGCATTTTGTGTATGTCTGTGGAATTTTCTTTTAAGTTCTTAGAAAAAAACTCAAAGGGAATGTATAACTTTAAGTCTTTTACTATTTATTATTAAGATGCCTCCCAGAAGGGGTAAGCTATTTTTCTCTCCTAGTAAATCATTTCCCTCTCATGAGAATAGGCATAACATCGCCCACTTGTCAGTCCTCTCAGCAGCCTTACATATTGAATCTTATTTTAAAAATTTCTACTTTTGAATGTGCTGGCTTACATCTGTCATTCTGGCACTTTGGATGGCCAAGGAAAGATGATTGTCTGAGGCCAGGAGTTTGAGGCTGCAGTGAGCAATGGTCATGACGTTGCACTCCAGCCTGGAGCAAGACACTGTTTCAAAAATAAATTACGAAATGACAAATAAAAATGTCTACCAATTTCCTAATTGAAAAGATAGCTGATTGTTTTTATTTTTATTTTTTGTATGTAAGAATTATCAGATATTTAATCCCATATTGGTCATTATAATATCTTTTTTTTTTTTTTTTTTTGAGACGGAGTTTCGCTCTTGTTGCCCAGGCTGGAGTGCAATGGCGCGATCTCGGCTCACCGCAACCTCCGCCTCCTGGGTTCAGGCAATTCTCCTGCCTCAGCCTCCTGAGTAGCTGGGATTACAGGCACGTACCACCATGCCCAGCTGATTTTTTGTATTTTTAGTAGAGACGGGGGTTTCACCATGTTGACCAGGATGGTCTCGATCTCTTGACCTCGTGATCCACCCGCCTCGGCCTCCCAAAGTGCTGGGATTACAGGCATGAGCCACCGCGCCCGGCTATAATATCTTTTATGAATTGCCTCTTAATATTCCTTTTTTTTTTTGGAGATAGTCTCATTCTGTTGCTCAGGCTGGAGTGCAAAGGCACGATCTTGGATCACTGCAGCCTCTGCCTCCTGGGTTCAAGTGATTCTCCTGCCTTAGCCTCCCGAGTAGCTGTGATTGCAGGCATGCACCACCATGCCTGGCTAATTTTGTATTTTTAGTAGAGATGGGGTTTCTTTACATGGGTCAGGTTGGTCTCGGCCTCCCAAAGTGCTGAGATTACAGGTGTGAGCCACCACACCCAGTCAAATATTCCTTTTTTAAATAACATTTGCTATGAGGTTGTTCATCTTTTTCTTACTGGCCTATAAGTAGTAATTATAGATTGAGGATATTAATTTCTCTGTTCACATGCACCAGATGTATTTTTCCAGTTTGCCTTTTAATTGTATTTGTTGCGAGCTTTGTTTTTCATTCAGAAGCTTTACACTTTTATTTCATCAAGTCTGTCTTTTCCTTTGGAACTTGTGTCTTTAGAGTGTTGTAGAAATTTTATATGAGCACTTTCTTGTTTTCATCAGACATATTTATGATTCCTTTTTCCAGTTGTGCAGTTGTTCCGTTATACATTGCTTCTTGAAGTCGTTCAGCACAGAACTTACTAAATTCCTATCATGTGTCAGATACTAGGTCTAAAAATGGTAGGCAGAGCACTTCTAGTATGGGAGAGTGTTAAAAAAATTGCTTATTAAGTGTAAAGTGCTATGAAGGTAAGGAATGACACTATGGGAAGAAAATTGGGGATGGGGAACAAACTTTACAGTAGGGAATAGATGATCCATTAATGTGGGGATCACCTCACCTTAGCACCCAGTTTTTTTTAAACCACATTTACTGAATAGTCTCTCCCACAGATCTGAGATACTACTTGGATTATCTAATACATTTCTTGTGAATACTAGTATTAACTTCTAAACTGCTATTTGTTCCATTGATCAAAGTATTAGTGGACCAGTACAAAACTGTTTTAATTATTAGATTTCTATTATGTGGTTGTATTTCTTAGGCCATTTCTTTTCAGAATTTTTTTTGACTAGTATCACAGTATATTCTGCCATATTCACTTGAATAAAAAAGTGTTCTCAAATTACACAAAACCGTTTTGGATTTTGATTAACATCATGCTGAGTTTTCAGTATAATTGAGAAAAATAAGCCTCTTCGCATAACGTGGGCATTTTGACATAAGAACTACTCATGTAAAATGTACAGTTTGGTAAATTTTGACCTATTATATATCTGTGAAGTTGTTATTCCAGTCACGATAATGAACACACCCTTCACACCCAGAGCTTTCTCATGTGTGTTTTTAATCTCTCCCTCTTATTCAGTCCTTGAGCAAACACTGATATGCCCTGTTTTTATAGATTAATTTAGATTTTCTAGACTTTTATATGAATGGAGTTGTAAACTCTGTACTTAACTTTGTCTTCTTTTACTCAGCATACTTGTTTGAGATACATTTATGTTGTTGCATGTACCAGTAGTTCATTTTTAGCTGAGTTGCATTCTAATTCCCAGTTTGTCAGTTTGTGCGTTGATGGTATGTTTCTGGTTTTTTGGGCTGTTACAAATACAGCTACTGTGAACATTCATGCCCAAGTCTTAGTGTGGACTGTTTTCATTTATCTTGGGTAAATACTTAGGAGTGGAATGCCTGGTCACATGCCAGGTGTGTGCTTAACTGCCAGAAACTGTCAAACTGTTTTCCAAAGCAGTTGTACTATTTTATATTATATTTCCACTAGCAGTACATGGAAAATTTAGATTGTTCCTCATTCTCATTAACATTTGGTATGGTTAATCGTTTTTTTTTTGGAGACAGTCTTGTTCTGTTGCCCAGGCTGGAATGCAATGGCATGATCTTGGCTCACTGAAACCCCTGCCCCCCAGGTTCAAGTGATTCTCTTGCCTCAGTCTCCCCAGTAGCTGGGATTACAGGCACCTGCCACCATGCCTGGCTAATTTTTTGTGTTTTTAGTAGAGATGGGGTTTCGCCATGTTGGCCAGGCCGGCCTCCCAACTCCTGATCTCAAGTGATCCACCTGCCTTGGTCTCCCAAAGTACTGGGATTACAGGTGTGAGTCACCTTGCCCGGCCATTTAGTCTTTTTAATTTTAGATCATACTAGTGGTATATGGTGTTACTCCATTGTGGGTTTAATTTGCATTTTCCTTATTACTAATTGTAGTGAGCATCTTTGCATATTTATTCTGTATCTGTATTTTTTTTGGTGAAGTGACTTCAAATTTTTGCCCACTTTTCAATTGGGTTTTGTTTTCATATTATTGAATGTTGGTGATTCTCTGTGTATTCTGTATACAAACCTGTTGCTACAGATATGATTTGTAGATGTTTTCTGTCATTTTATCTTTTTAGTCTTTTAACAGTGTGTTTCAAATAGTAAAAGTGTCTAATTTGAATGAAGGCTGGCTTACCAAGTTTTTTATGAATTGTGTGTTTGGTATTACCTTAAGACATTTTCCCTAACTCAAGGTCACAAAGATTTTTTCTGAGCTTCCTGTAGGAATTTTATAATTTACTTTTACATTTAGGTTTATTGTTTCTATCAAGTTTTTATGTATGGTGTAAGATAAAGAACAGGGTTTTTGGTTTCTTTTGATGTATGGCCATGTGATTGTTACACCATTTGTTAAGATTAGTTTTTCTTCATTTAATTGCTTTTGCACTTTTTACAAAAAATTAATTGACTATATGTATGGATCTCTGGACTGTAGTATTGATTTATTTGTCTGTAGTTATGTCAATACTGCATTTCCTGGAATTCAGGTAGTGTGAATCTTCCAACTTTGTTCTTCTTTTTTCAAAATTTTCTTGGCTATTGTAGATTCTTTGCATTTTCATACAAATTTTGAAATCAACTTGTCAATTAGGGAAAAAACCTGCTGGGATTTTGTTTTTCATTGACTCTGTAGATAAGTGTGTGGTGATGTAACAATATTGAGTCTTCTGATTTATGAATAGGATGTACCTTTCTAATTATTAGTCTCAGCAGTGTTTTGTAGTTTTCAGTGTATTTTGTACATCTTTTGTCAAGTTTATTCCTAAATATTTCATATCTGTGGTATTTAAAAAATTTTTCTAATTATGGCTAATATATAGAAATATAGTTGACTTGTATATTGCTCTCATACGTTACTAAGGGATGAGATATGTTACTCTCATCCTTTAGTAATTATAGTAGCTTTATTATAGATTACATAGGATTTTCTATATAGTCACAGTAATGTTTTTTAAATAAAGACAGTTTTACTACTACTTTTCTAATGTGGATGCCTTTTGTTTTGTTTTCCTGCCCTTTTGCATTGACTAGTCTGGTAATATGAATTATGTTGATTGACTTTTGGATATTATACTAATCTTGTATTGTGAGAATTAACCCCATTTGGTCATGATTTGTTATCCCGTGTGTATTTGTTGTTGGATTTGTTTTGCAAAGTTCATGGGGGATGTTGGTATTTAGTTTTGTTGTAATGCTTGCCTGGTTTTACCGTCAGAGTAATGCTGACCTTGTACAATGAGTTGAAAGTAGTGGTATTATTTCTTCTCAAATATTTGGTAGAATTCCCTAGAGGAGACTTTGGGCCTGGGATTTTCTTTGTGGTAAAGTTTTTAACTACAGATTCAACTTATTTAATAGACATAGGACTACTTAGGGTATCTGTTTCTTTTGGAGTGAGCGTAAATAAGTTTGACTGGAAGCTGATTTTTCTGTTTTTCTATTTAATTTGTTTCTGTTTTGCTCTTTGTTATTTCTCTTTTCTTGTTTTTACTATAATTTGCTTTTTTCTAGTTTCATAAATTTACTGATTTGAAACTTTATTTTCTAATAAGGAAAGGTTAATGCTGTAAATTTCCCTTTAAGCAGTACCTTAGCTACAGCCCTGAAGTTTTATTACATTTTTATTTTCATTCAGTTCAAAATCTTACTTTTGTCTTTGACTCATGTGTCTTTTGTTTAGTTTCCAAATATTTGTGGATTGTTCACATTTTTCTGATTTGACTTAATTTGAACATAGTTCAGTTACACTTTGCTTATTTTAAATTTATTGAGACTTATTTTATTTCCCTAGTCTTCCCTCCTTCCCCTACCCATTATTCTTTTTCTCGTGAAATTAAAGTTTATAAATTATTTTACTGTATGGCATCCTTTGTCTGCTTGTTTTGCATGCTGTGTTAGAGGTTGTTCTTACTGTCAGTCTCAGCTAGGAGACTCCAGGTATCTACTTCTGTTTACCCATTGATGCTCATCATTGAGTTTCCCAGGTGATGCTTAGTGAGTTACTTAACTATTATGTTGCCTGTTACAGATTTAAAAGATAGGGAAAAGGGGGTGTAATAATTGTACAAAGTATTGCAATACCAAAAAAAAAAAAGGGGGTCATGTAACATTACTTTTGTTTTCTAGGTAATGTGTGTTACTTTCTTATTTCACCTTTAAGCAAAGCTGTTGATTACATGTATGTACTTCTTAATTGGTTTTTAGGCTTTTTATGGAAATTCTTAATGACTGTTCTGATGTGGATGAGATCAAATTCCAAGAAGATGGTTCTTGGTGTCCAATGAGACCGAAGAAAGAAGCTATGAAAGTATCCAGCCAACCATGTACAAAAATAGAAAGTATGTATAAGAACAGCAGCAGAGGGCAAAGCAGTGAGACTTGTGCCACATTATCATTAACCTTGGCCCCTGGAACCCTATATTTGTAATTCAGCTTGTTGACTTAATCTTTTGGTTATATATAATTTCCCCCAAATGATTTTTATTCTTTCCTGAAGAAATGTGCTAAAGTTTATACCATCTTATCAGCTATTTCATATTGTATTTTTCCTGTGTAGGGTAAGTGAAACATTCATCTAAAATCATTTTAATATATGATGTTTGTTACAAAAAGTCACAAATACATTTATATGGACAGTTTTTCAGAATTGTTTTTAGAGTATTTGTAAGTGAAACCCTAGGTGGAGGTGAGGTTAGAGAGGCTACATCATTGATTAATAACCTTGGTAGTGTGGGGGTGATCACAGGTTAGTTGCTCAGAAAGTAAACAGATTGTTCCCTTCCATTTCTCTGTGGGAAGGAATTTTACCATTGCCTTGATTACCTAGAATGTGTACTTATCCATCAACTGCCTGCATCTGTCCACACTAAGTAGGGAAACTGAGGGCATTTTGAATAATTGAAACTCACTGGTGAACTTAGAGTTTCTTTTTATCTAACAGTCTACTCACTGCATTTCAGTTTTGTTCTGATTACATTTAAGTTCTAACAAACAATGTAATGAATAATTAGAGTAAGAAGAGAGGGGAAAAAATAAAGGATTTATGCCATTATTATTTCTCTGTTATTGATACTGAACCTGAGTGCAGTGTCCAGGGCTTCTCTCATCTTTGAGAAAAATGGGGAGTGATTTACTTAAGTTTCTATTGCTTTTCCATTATCAACTATCATTCTTTTTTAACTAAATACAGAGAATAATACACTTTTCTATGAAAATATGAGTTAACAAATATGGTATATGAGACTATCTTTGTGGGCAGAAAGAACCTATGTGATTAGTAGGTAATTCACAAGAAAAGTTTAAATGTCTGAATAACTTAAGTGAGAGGTTTGGGTTTTTACAGCTTATCAAGGTGAAAGTTTTTATCAAATTCTAGCTTATGGTGAAAAGCCTGTATACTTTCTTTGATATGAGCATAATTGCTAGAATGGAAATACCTGGTTTTGAGCAAACTGTGCCACATGTCTGTGAGAATACACAGCTGGTGAAATCACCTATTCTTGCATGGCCTGAGAGCAGTTCCCTAACCAGCAGTTAGGGAGCTGGTGTCTGTCCATGGGTTTGTGGCTTCACTGTGGCTATGTGTCGTCAGGAATCTACTATACTGAATATACTAGACTCTACGGCTAGAGTTTGTGTTATACCTTTGATTTTTTTTTTTCCTTTTGTTTCCTTACATGTAGGTTCAAGCGTCCTCAGTAAACCTTGTTCAGTGACTGTAGCCAGTGAGGCAAGCAAGAAGAAAGTAGATGTTATTGATCTTACAATAGAAAGCTCTTCTGATGAAGAGGAAGACCCTCCTGCCAAAAGGAAATGCATCTTTATGTCAGAAACACAAAGCAGCCCAACCAAAGGGTTTGTTAATTTATAGTTCACTATTGTTCATTATACTTGCAACTAATTGCTTTTGGGATAGGTTTATAAATGTCTCTTTGGGAAATGGCATAAATATAGAAAGCTATTTTAATTTGCTTTTGTTCAGTTGAAATATTTTCAAATAAGCACATTGTTTATAGGAAAGCAAATTTTGATGTAGAAAATATTTACATCTTTGGAAAGTGAGCGTGTGAGGTATTTATTTCATACCTGAGACTTTTTGTTATTTTCTTGAACCTATTTGTAAGGAAATTTGGTATCTCAGACCAGCATGAGAAAGCCTGGTGTAATGCAGTGTGGAACTGGGAATCTGACAAGTGTAGATGCCAATTTTGGCACCATCACTCACTTGTTCTATTATCCTAGATGAAATACTGAATTTGATTGAGCCTCTTTTTTTGTGTTCTGTTAAATGGAGCTAAATAATGGCTATATTACAGGATTCTTTTCAGGTTTTAATGAGATGATGAAAGAAAGCCTCACTGTCAGGCATGTGGTAACTTCTCAATAAAAATTGATTTCTTTCCCTTCTCACCCTTTCCAGGGAAAAATATGGGCGGGTAGGATGGCATTTTACCTGAATTTTGGCATGGATTCTCTATAAGCTATCTGGCAGAAACCATTATTGACAGTATTAAAAGATAGGTTTAAGTATTTAGCAGTAGTTGCTTTTTCAGAGAGGGTTTGGACCGTGCAAGGAGATAACAGGAGAATTCTCTTGACAGTCCACAAACACATTCTTTTAAACTTGGGTGTTTTAAAGTCATCTTTTTTGGCCTCTTGGTCCACTTACTTTTATAATGGCTTTACCGAGGTATGATTTACATAGGATAAAATGTACCCATCTTAAGTATATAATGCACAATTCAGGAATTTTAGAAGATACATAGAGCTGTGCAGTCGTCACCATGATTCAGTAGTAGAATATTTTCAACACCAAAAAAAACACTTTCCTCATGTTCTCTTGTAGTTTATTCCTATTTACACCCTAAATCTAGGCAGTCTTTTTTTTTTTTTGTCTCTGTGATGCCTGTTCTAAACATTTTATATAAAATGTCTACTTCTGCAACATTTTTTATAGTTTTAAGAATTAAATCTTTTCAGCTACCTTCTTTACTGTTAAAGTACTTATGTTTCCGGATATAGTTTACATATATAGTAAGGGCATATATTTACTTTTATCCATTTAATTAGAATGAGGTGGGATTTTTGTGTTTGTGGAACAAAATGAGGAAATGATTTCAAGTGCGTTTTTTCCTGGCGTGCCAATCATTTATTGCTCCTTTGAAACGAATTGGTTGGTACATCTACAATTTAAATGATAAACAGAACATGAAGAAATAATTTTGAAATGGTTACTGGGGTGGAAAATCAAGGGAATGAATGCTTAGATGTCATGTTTCTGGATTTTTCTCTCTAATGATATCCTTTAGAATATACTGGAAAAGCATGAGTTGCAAGTACTGTAGTTGGCTCATGCCAGGTTGAGAGGTCATGCCTAGCAATGCTGACTCATGAATTGATGTGATCTTGGCGCATGTCTCAGTGGCATGCCACAAGGGTCTGCCCTCTGTCCTTTACCACATTTTTATATGTACTTGATGAGCCCATGAAACAGGAGGGATGGCACATACACAATGGGTGACAAAATTTGAAATGACCTCACTATAAAGAGGAATAAGGATAGTTTACATCTGTGGTCAGCTACTATAGAGATAAATGTTAAGGCTTCTCATCTAGGCTGGAAAGAAAACAAAAACTAACATTGGTAAGTATAAGGTAGAAAATTGTGATTAAACCAGCAACACATGAAAGTTTTTATTTTAAAAGTCTGTATAAAATGCGGCTACCTAGTTCATTCCATGAAGTTCATATAGCCCTTAACACCCAACTCAGACATACACATTAATACTCACATGGAAGAACTCTTAGGAAAAACAGACTCACGTAGAAAGGTAAATGAAAATTCTGAATTCAGTCTTAGGAAATCATTTAATTATATATTAAAATGACATCTGTGACCAAGCAGAGTTTATCCTAGGAGTGCTTTAATATTAGAAAATATACTGATAAGATGGATCTTGTCATAAGGACAACTATATAGTCATCTTCATGGATGCTGGAAAGGCATTCAGTGAATTGCCATTTCTGATAGAAACTCTTTCAAATGTCAGATTTCACTTAAGGATTTGAAGGGTTCATCACTTAACCAATTTGTTCTTAGCATTAATAAAAGAAGCATAGACCAGGCGCAGTGACTCACGCCTGTAATCCCAGCACTTTGGGAGGCCAAGATGGGCGGATCACAAGGTCAGGAGTTTGAGACCAGCCTGACCAACATGATGAAACCCCGTCTCTACTAAAAATAAAAAAAATTACTTGGGTGTGGTGACGCACTCCTGTAATTCGAGCTACTCAGGAGGCTGAGGCAGGAGAATTGCTTGAAACCGGGAAGTGGAGGCTCCAGTGAGCCAAGATCCTGCCACTGCATTCCAGCCTGGGTGACAGAACGAGACTCTGTCTCAAAAAAAATAAAAAAAATAAAAATGAAAGAAGCATAGTGTCCAGGATCCATACCATGCCAGTTTTGTTTCATTTTAGGCTGTGACTCTCAGAGCATTTCAGTCAATGCTGATCATCAAGAATGGTATTAACAAATGAGTATGACCACAGCAGGGGAACAGGAAGGTGAATAGTGGAACCTGGAGCATGACAGACAAGTGGGTCTTACGGATTGAAGCAGTTAAACCAGGAGAAGAGATTATGTGATAGCCACCTTGTAGTTCTTAAAAGGGAGACATTGACTAGCTGGATTAAGTTTATTCCTTGTTACCAGATTTAGGTTCAATGGACTAAAGATACATGGACAGACTTTCTACTGGAGCTTTCTGAACACTAGGAAATTTAATCTTTTGTCCCAAAATCATGTTTTCTGTGTTAGAGTGGCTGCCACCTGTCACAGTGTCATAGTGGCGGCTCATGTTGTGGTTATATCATCTCTGTGATTCTTTCCTACTCTTTAGACTTTTGTGGCTTTGTTCCTGGTTGTCCTTTTATACCCTTTCTTGTGGCTCAGCATCTAAAGTTTTATGGTTTTCCTGTGCTGGGTAAGTTTATCTTAGGATTTCTTGGCCATCAAGGATAGTAAGCAAATGAGGAAGAGTAGAGAATGAGAAAACTTATTCTAATTTACAGCCCCAAAATTATGTGAGCAACTATTTTTTTTAAGTAGAATATATGTGAAAAATAGACAAAAAGGGGTAAGACCTTATATTCAATAAAACATTTACAATCTTGTAAAATACAATATATATTTTCATTTTGGAAACCAAAATTAATATAACAATGATTATCTGTTGAGGACTCCATTTCAGCCTTTAGACTTGTACATAACATAAAGTTGGAAATGTATGAAGATGATCAAATAGGAAAACCAGAACTCTCTTAATCTGTTTGTTAACTGAATAATGCAGTTGATTACTTTAAAATTCAAAATCCTACCTTATTGCAGAAATAATAGCAAAAGGAAAAAAATCATTCATTAAACTTTTACTAAGTATAAGGAATTTCTAAATTGTCCCAAGTAAAATGTCCATGACTTGTGATAGATACTGTAATCACTATTTTACAGATGAGAAAACAGAGTGTAAAAGACTTATAGCATACTATGGTAAAGGCTTCAGCCAGGAACCTAAGGGCATGCAAGGCATTTTGAGAGGGACAGCAGTGGGTAGGGAGGTTGGAGAGGGATAACATGGGGAGAAATGCCAGATGTAGGTGATGGGGGGATGGAGACAGCAAATGTACCTATGCAATAATCCTGCATGATCTGCACATGTACCCCAGAACCTAAAGTACAATAAAAAAGTATGTGTGTGTATATATACCTATATATATATGTGAAATTATAATTAGATATCAATGAGAAACCATTTTGCCAGAGCAAATACATTTAAATTCCCTCTCAACTATTTTTTATTTATTTATTTTGATTTTTTGAGACAGGGTCTTAGTTTGTTACCCAGGCTAGAATGCAGTGGTGTGATCTCGGCTCACAGCAGCCTTGACCTCCTGGGTTCAAGCACTACCCCTGCCTCAGCCCTCCAAGTAGCTGGAACTACTATGCCCAGCTAATTTTTTTGTATTTTTTGTAAAGTTGGGGTTTTACCATGTTGTCCAGGCTGGTCTCAAATTCTCGAGCTCAAGCCATCTACCTGTCGCGGCCTCCCAAAATGCTAGAATTACAAAGTGCATGAGCCACCACGCCTGGCCTGTGAGCAACTATTTTTTAAGAGGTATATTATTTTAGTAAAAATTATTCTTATAAACAATTTTACAAAGCATCAAAGAGAAAGCAAAAAATATCTCAACTAGAGAGAATTATTGCCATTTTGATGGCAGTCTTATTCCCTTTCTTTGCATACCAACTGGAGTCTTTAAATGCAGTCTTATAATAGTTATCAGAAGAAACTTTTAGTTAATCTTAAGACATTTAGAAAACCTCTGATGCTTTGTCATATTCAAAGATAATTTTATATATTATGCCCCTTCCCCACTACTGGAGATTGAATGGTTGCTTTGCCTTAATAAGGCGATATTCTGAAGACAGGAAGCATAATAAGCATAAATCTGTATATCTCCAGATTAATAATCATTAGGAATTGGTAGCAGAATTGAATCTTTTTTATACTTTTATGATCATAAAGTGGGAGCATACAGTGAACTTCAGAGTTATAAATAGAAATTGTCAGTCCTTTGTCAGACATCTGAGTCTGAGGCAAATGTGAGTTTCATGCAATTCTCTGATCCAGCATATAATTTGGACTAGTAATATTTGCAATATAGCAGCATTCTAGCAATTCACATTTGTGTTGTGATATGGATAAAGTTACAAAAGTTTAGAACATATATGTACACTTACATAATGTATACATGTCTCTTTGTGTGTTTACCAATCCTAACAAGAGGCAGTAACAAATTTTAAAAGCTTTAAATCTTTTTATTACCATGTAACATCACATTTTTGCATCCATCATTTTACCATCCATAGCCATTTACATTTTTTCATGGAATCTGTTACTAATATCTGTAAATATATCTATTTTTTGCATAGGCTTTAGAAGCATTTTGTTTCTGAATGTGGTTCTTGTGAAGATTCCCATAGCAAAACCCTGCTCCTAGTATTTAATTTGATAATCCTGACTAATGACTACTTTAAACCACTCTATATAAAGTCAAATTTGTATTAATGGTTGCAACATTCAGTAATGGGAATTAACCAATACTAAATAGTTTAACTTTTCATATGTTTGCTGAGGTTTTAGATGTTGATTTACTAATTTGTATCCCCATTGGATTTTCACATTTCGATGTTTTGACAGCCAGCAGTTGGTATTGCTTAAGTAAGGAGTAGCTATTTAATCATTTAAAGTTTCATGTTGCTAAGTGACAGGACACGTGCAGTTATTAGGTATTACTGTGGGACAGACAGGTGTGTGGGGATATTCACTTGACTCCTCTACAGATGTAAGTCAAGGGGTCAGGGAAGGGAAAGGAACTCTGTTATTGTTATTTATAAGTCTATTTCAAGTTGAAGGGTAAATCAGGATCAAAACAAAAGAAAATCTCCAGTGTGAAATAGCAAAGGAAGAGAAAGAGGAGTGGGAGAAAGACGTTCGTTGTCTTTTTCTTGTACCAGGAAGTCTTCTAGTTTCTTTGAGTGACAGAGAAAAAAAAACATGATAGGTTAAATGTACTTTTTTTTGAGACAGCATCTTACTCTGTCATCTGGGATAGAGTGCAGTAGAACATTCACGGCTTGCTGCAGCCTCAACCTCCTGAACTCAAGCAATCTTCCACCTCAGCCTCCTGAGTAGCTAGCACCTTAGCCATGCTTCAGCACATGTGGCTTTTTTTTTTATTTTTTATTTTTGTGGTTACAAGGTCTCCCTATGTTGCCTAGTCTGGTCTCGAACTTCTGGCTCAATAAATTCTCCTGCCTTTGCCTTCCAAAGTCCTGAGATTACAGGTGGGAGCCCCCTTGCCTGGCTCTAAATGTACTTTTAAGTAGAAACTTTTTAAATTAAATGAAACTTTGTATGTATATATTTTTGGTCTTTAAAAGCCTGCTATTAACATTTTTTAAAAATACCTTTTAAAAGATATTAATACTTTGAGACAGCCAGAATAATCAGAGCCACTTCTTTAGCCCCTTCCCCAGCTCTCAGATATACCCCAATCTGTCTCTCCTCCTTACCCACTGTGTATTTCCTCCAATTTCTCATATAAACTCTTGTGTGTGAGAGGTAGTCTCATGTTATTTGGAAAACTTTTGATGATCTGTTCTTCTGTGATCCCTGTAGAGGACCACTGTTTTCAAACCTCCAAAAAAGATGAGCTTTAGATACAATATAACTTATTTTATATCCTCCCAACTTCTCTTTTCCTCCAGAGTCTGCCTTTTCTAACATTGCTCACATCCTGCTTGTGGTTTTAGATCTTGGAGTAGCACTGGAGGCTAAGAAATCTCCAGATTCTAACCTACAGGCAGGTGGTTGATTTTTGGAAGATAACTTCTTTCTATCTTTATCTACCTCAGGAAAATGCATTTTCAAATACTAGGCTTAGTTATTGCCTCAAGCATATTATTTGTCATAAGCTCCCTAAATGGATCAGTTTTTAATCCAAGATTTCTGAACTCTAGCCTGTGTTATTTATTCACTTTTCTGAGACTAACATAGTTGCCAATTCAACCATATATGTACTCTCAACCATATATGTACTCTCAAGACAACTGTTTTCCACATTGGTAGTGACATCTATTTTTAAGTGGTTTGACATTTAAACTGAGGTTATGAAATAGTTTGTCAGAGTACAAAGAATGTCATGCAAATTGGCATGATTTCTTCTTACCGATGTTTAATAATCAGCAATAACAGAAAAGGGAAAGGATGTCCAGAAGTTGTCAGTCCCAGTCTAGCTTTGTGACCATGGTTCTGCTTTAAGTTTCTAAGACACTTTCTTCATCTTCGTAATGATCCCTTCCAGCTACAGAATTCTGTGCCTTTGTCATTAAGCTTATGATAGTTGACTGGCAGTGCTTTGGGATACTAACCTTGATGTTGTACCCCTTGTTTGCAAGGTAGCCACCATTAACCATAAGACCAGTAATGATGCTCAGTTTCATACATACATTGAAGGATGTCTTTCTTGTGAAGTTGTAGTTATTTACCCTGAGAAAATGCAGGTTAAATAGGAAGAATGCAAAAAAAAAGTCTCTGTTTAAGCTTGAACTTTTTCAAAAATATGTTTAATTATACTGCTTCTTGAAATTATAAAAATGCTATAGTGTATATATTTATATAATACCAATTGTGAAGTATTTATTACATATGTTTAATTTGTATTTTTAGTAGCAAGAAAAGCTCATTTTAAAATCATAAACCCTCTTAGGATTTCACCTGCCTGGTAGGTGCTATCATGGTAGCCAGCATTTTTATTTCTGGATATTATATTTTAAATCCTGAATACTCATCCTCATTTCTGATTGTGGCCTATTGCCATCAAGTTTGCCGGCTTTAAGATTGGGTAATTTTGCTCAGATGATTTCCAGAAAAGATTGCAAATAATTAATACAATTCAAGTTAGAATTGAAGAAATTTGGGTTGTGCTACAGTGAGTAGCTTCACTCATAAAGCTTCCCTGATTTAAATCAAACCTTAGGGGTCTTTCTATGTTAGTTTTAAATTTCTTTATAGGTAAAATCACTGATGCCCATATACATATTACATACACATTAATAAAAGTGACATCTATTTCTATTTTGGATGAAAGTGTTATATCTTATTCCAGCACTGTACATTGTGATTGAATGTCAACTTGCTCTATGTCGCAGCTGCTGTTGAGAGCCAAGATATGTTCATGTTAAAATGAAGACTGTTATGGGAGAGGAGAGGAGAGTGGAGTGCTGTGTAGTGAGTAGCTGCCATATAGTTGTGCTGAAACTAGTGAACAAACGACTGAGAATGCCCACTGGTGCAGCTCTTCTCTCCTGTGAACTAACAGCCAGATTGTTTGTAATTTCCCATGCTATTTAAAACAGGGTTCTCATGTATCAGCCATCTTCTGTAAGGGTGCCCAGTGTGACTTCGGTTGATCCTGCTGCTATTCCGCCTTCATTAACAGACTACTCAGTACCATTCCACCACACGCCAATATCAAGTATGTCATCAGATTTGCCAGGTATGTGGAGAGTTTTATTTTCTTTTGTTTTTTTAATCAAAGTTTATTATTTTTAATTTTAATCTGTGAAGCCAGTATAGTTTTGAAATTTTAAATAGAAATGCTAAGGAAATTTGAAGACGTCATGTAAAGGTCATATCTGTTTTTATACATCACATCCAGTTGTTATTTTAACTACAGAGCAAGCTATGGATTCCTGTTGATGAGAAATATAGTAGAATAATAAATGTTACAGATTTTAGTCTCGCATTTGGAGAATTTGTACTTAAAGACTTTTTCTTGATTTATTTATTATAAAATCTCACAGGTGAGGGGAGAATATTTTCTCATACTCTTCTTGGTAGCTCATCAGAACTTCAGAATATACTGATGTTGTTTGGGGTTGATTTTTTTTTTTTTTATGCTAGCTGTGGATTTTATTCTCCTTACAAAGATAGGGTCTACCATCTGTTTCCCTAGAGTGGGGCTTAATACTTGGGGATATCTTGTATATGTACAGTAGTTTCCCCTTATCCACAGGGGATAAGTTCCAGGACCCCCACTAAATGCCTGAAACCACAGATATTACAGAATCCTATATATTGTTTTCTTTTTTTTTCTATACAGACATACCCATGATAAAGTTGAATTGAATTTTTAAATTAGGCATAGTAAGAGATGAACAACAATAATATTAAAATACAACAGTTATAACAATATGCTGACGTCACTACTCTTGCGCTTTAGTATCATTATTAAGTAAAATAAGGATTACTTGAACACAAGCACTGTATACCAAGATATAGTTAATCTGATAACTTAGATGGCTGCTAAGTGACTAAGAGCTGAGAGCCACTGTACAAAGGAATGGTTCATGTCCTGGGTGGGATGGAGCATGGTGGAGCCAGGACAGCATGAGATTTTGTCAGACTATTCAGAGCCGTGTGTAGTTTAAAACCTATGAATTATTTCTGGAATTTTCCATGTGATATTTTCTGGCTGCAGTTGACCACAGGTAACTGAAATTACAGAAGGCAAAACCCTGGATTAAGTCGGAATCTACTGAATAATATTAAGGTTTCTTGAATTACCTTAGTATCAGGACTTCTGCAACCAAGACCATATTACAAAATTTAAACTTCCCTCTTTTACTCTTCTTCCCTCTCTCTGTAGCCATTGCTTTTGCTGACATTTCTGTCAATTATATTTGAGCAAATTAGAACCAGTACATTCATGACCTCCTTTCTCTTGGAAGGTCCTTTTAGTGGAGTACAATTCTCTCCTCTTGTTACTAGTTTTCTTCTCTAGATTTATGAAGTTAATTTTGACCTATGATATATATTTTTTCTCCCCTTAGTAAGGTCTTTATTTTAAGCAGAATACTTATCCTGTTGGTGGAAATTTGTGTTACTGAAACAATTGATAATTAGCTCAATATAATTTTGCCACCTGAAATTTGTTTCAATTATGTGAATAAAATTTAGTGGACAAGAATAAACCTTTTATAGTATACATTGAAAAAATGGCTTTTAAAAATATTTTCTGCTTCTTAAATATATTCACTCCATATGTAATTTGGGAGTTGGTATTTTAAGAAGTTCTTTATAGACCCAGCTAACACAAGTTATAAAGTATTTGTGAAGTATATACAAAGTCTGATGCTAAAGTACCCGTGAGATTTCATGTCTGTGACAAAGATGGAAACTCAGAGATTCTTAATTCCTAACTGCCTTGTATTACTTATAACCTTGGCTAGTTGGAAGAGTGTCCGCATGTCATCTCAGTATGTGTTATAAGCAAGCATTCTAAAAGAATTTGTTTCCTAAAGACCTTGAATTAAAAATTAATCCTAAAAAAAGATAATGAGCATTTCTGTTTATTAAAACAATCCTACCATTTAGCAGTAGCATAGACACAATTTACAAGTCACTTGCCCTGTTTTTAAATTCTGTAAATCTGGATGATTTTTTAATTTTGGAAAATTTATATTATTTCAAACTTTGGGCATAAAGTGAGAGAGACTATTTCTTTTTAGAAATGTGCAAACTTGAGAAAAATGCAGTAAAATGTGTGTGAACTGGATATTTAGTAAAAATGCATTGCAAGCTGGTATTGAGCAAACAAGACTAATATCCAAGGTTGATATTAAGCCAATATTAACCATTATGGTGTTACTGGTTATTATTGAAAAGCTTTCTTACCAATTGATCACTGAATAGAAGAGGATATATTGTGCTTTAGAAAAATTGCCAGTCTATCATCATATATGATTTATGTAGCAGTTACTATATCTAGATAGTTTAGTTTTACTTTGATTTTATTGTTAATGTTCTCTTTTGTAATTAGTAATTACTTTGGTTTTGTTTTATGTATAACTTTATGTAATTAGTCATACTGTGAAGAGTTTTGGTATTGATAACTTAATAATTTATAATAAAATATTAAATAGAACACCAAGAATGGAGAGATAAAGTTTTAATACATTTCTTAACATTTCTTTTAAACATCATAAACATGAATCTTCTGAATCTGCAGGAGAACAAAGAAGAAATGATATTAATAATGAACTGACGCTTGGAACATCTTCTGATACTGTGCAACAGTGAATATAAAATAAAACAAATAATTTTATTTATGGAGTGGAAAACAGCTTGATTATTTCAAGGAAAAATATGACTGCCTTATTATTGCTAGTGCCATATTGTCAGGTGCGAATGGTGCTCAAAAGTTGTATCATTAAAATTTGAAAGTGCTAAACATATCCATATTTAGTCATGTAGCAGTTATGCTTTGTTAAAGTTTATGGCTCATGTAAGGAAAATGTGTTGTCATCAATGAGGAAAGATGTCTAATGAGTCAGTTTAACAATGAAGCACTTAAAATTTTTAAATTAAAATTTTATCAGTGTTAATAGTGTTAACACTACCTGCTTTTTAGTTAAAAGTAATTAAGCATTTCAACCATGAAGTTCTTAGGAGGGCATAAAAGTATATCAGTGTGACACGCTGCAGTTGAAACTTACGGTGAAATATGAAACAGCATTTTGCTAAACTTATGAAACAAGGCAGTAAAATTTAGTCACTACTGATGAAACTTTATTTCATATAAGACTTGTAATATTCTGCTTAAAATGTAAAATGCAGGAAGACTTTAATGGTTTTGTTTTTTGTTAGAAAGAATAGCATCTAAAATACTACATCAAACTTCACTTTTAGTGCTTGAGGAAAAAAATGGTTTCAGTAAGAGAAATACTTGCATTAGACAGGGTTTATATAGACAGCACCTGTGTAATGCTTGGTAAACAATCTAGAATTCCAACCAAAATTTTAGAAAAATTTCTAGGTATTTTATTATGATGGGCATAAGTCACCACATTCAAGTCTCCATGGATGAGGTATCAAAAGATACAGATCAAGTAAATCTCTTAATTCTTTTCTAAATAGTCTTTATATTTACTGCCACACATGAAATCATCAAAGAGAATTACAGTACATTGAAGAACTGGAATTGAAATAACGAAAACAGGAAAAGTCTTTGGTCCTTAATGAGCATTCTCTGGGGATAGTTTCAATTTTTAATTTCAATTAAAATAAATACACAGGCTTGATATATAATTTTTTAAATGTTTTATATCAGGCTTGTGGATTTTAATTGAAATTATGAAATGGAAATAGTTGAACATTTAGAAAATGAGCATTTTTGAGTGGTTTGGCTTTAGCACACAATATTCCAACAGCATTGTCAATACTTTAGCATTATAAAAAGGTTTCAATTACTATCATGGACGAGAGATACAACAAACAATAAAATGATTGAACACACGAAACTGAAAAAGTATAAAAAGGTAGGAGCTATTGTAAAAATGAAGAAAACTGAAAAACTATGAAAAGGTGGAAGTTCTTGTAAAAATGAAGAAAATATACCATTTGAAGCAGAACAAAATAAATAACATTTCCATAAACATAATAGAAATACTGAAAATGCAAAACTCTGAAGGCATTATAAGGGCTAGACAAATTTTGAATTACCGTTTGGCAGAAGGGGATTTACTGAACAGTATTATTAATATGAAGAAAAAGTCTGCTTATTGAGATATCTTACCTATTATTTTAATAGAGAAGTCATTGGAAAAGTTTGTTGTAATTCTTTTCAGTTTACTATTAGCTCAAACCACTGTATCATAGTGACGGACTTATGAAATGAAAAATTACAGCAAGCTGGGTGCAGTGGCTTATGTTTGTAATCCCAGCACTTTGGGAGGCTGAGGTTGGAAGATTGCTTGAGTTCTGGAGTTCAAAACCAACCTGGGCAACATAGCAAGACCGTGTCTCTATAAAAATAATAATAATAATTAACTGGGCATGGTGGCACATACCTGTAGTCCCTGCTTCTTGGGAGGCTGAGGTTGGAGTATTGCTTGAGCCAGGAAGTGAAGGCTGCAGTGAGTTATAATCGTGCCTCTGCAATCTCACCTCAGCAGCAGAGCAGACTCAGTGTCTCCCAAAAAAAGGAAGAAAAAAATGTATAGCAACAATTTTAAATGCTTTAGAAATCGTTGGAATGATTTCTTTCAGATGATTGGTGCTACAGCTTGTATCACTTGGTAAGCATTTTTGTAGTACCCTTATTTAGAGATTATAAGAGAATAAATATATTTAAATTTTTTGAGTTATAAATTCATACTGGTTATAAATATTTTAAATGTCCCCACTGATATTCTCCATTTTGTATAAAAGCATAATGTCAGACTTTCTCTGTGTGGTGGTTATATTCGGGGTGTCACTGAATGCCAGCATAAAAATTCGTGGAATTGAATAGAAATTGGCATGTCTTAATGACTTATGGTTTCTTTTTTAATGTTTTGAAGTAATTGAAGGGAGTTTAGTCACACAGGGAGGTCTAGGAATGAACTGACTTTGTAGTTTATTACTAGACTTTTCAGACGTGGAATTTTAAATTATTTATTGTTATTTCTTGAATACTTGAATACGTCAGAATTATATTACTGGACAACCTTTTACACATTCCTCTTTTCTAAAACCTAATTGGGCAATTACAGTTCTCTGGTTTAGAAAATTACGTTAGCTCAGAACCCAATAACCCTTGATAACTTAAGCCTGTTAGCACAGCAATTCCCAAGTGTGCGCTTTGTGCAGAGCGTTGGACTGTGTATTGCTCTTGATGTGGGGGCAGTGGGGACAGAGAGCTATCATTGAAATAGATGTCTGTTTAGAAGTGATATTTAGATGAACATCTGTATTTCTGAAAAATAAATATGAAGTATCTTAAGAGCTTAAGTATGGTTTTTTTTTTTTTTTTAATGATTCGAATCTAGATCATTAGCTCATCGTTTTTATTGCTTCTCATTCTGTTAAGTGACAAAAGGGGAAACATTTGTTTTGACTAGTCCTTCTTTGGAAATTTTTGGACTTTTGCCTTTGAGTCTCTGGGAGCTAGTTTTACCAGTTGTTTTATCAGATAATATATTCATCTTTGGGTTTTAAACACTTCAGATATCACTGATCATGGTGTAGCACTTCCCCGTGGCTGAGTGGTAAGCACTTACCACAAATGTTTTGTGATTTGTGATAAGTAAAAATGATTTAGGGAAATAATTCTGGTCTCCAAAATATGAGGCAACTATTAACAAAGCATTTTTGTTTTAGGTTTGGATTTTCTTTCCCTTATTCCAGTTGATCCCCAGGTATGTATCCTGAATTTAAGCAACTAATTTGTATTTGATTGTTGATTATGTCATACTAACTAAAAATGGCCAGTTGCATAAAATCAGGACAGTCAACTCTTGAATTACTTACATTGATGGAAAGGAAGTACTGTGCAAATATTTCATAATTTTATTTGGAGGAATAAAGTTGTTTTTCAGTTCATGATTTTTGTCTTTAATATCTAAATTTTGAATTTAATTTTATTTAGCTTAATCAGTTGGCATCTCTTACAAACATTTGAATGATTAGAATGAATGGAAGCAGTGCTTAGTGGCTGGAAGTTAAAATTTTACAAATACAGTTTTATTTTTTAGCTAAAATATTCTGTACCCAGAAAATTAATAGCTAAATGTGATGAGACAGACTTGACTCATTAACTTGATTCTTCATTGTTTTTAAAGACATTCAAATTTAGACTTTGGGGAGACCCCAGTTTCAAGTTGCTTTATGTCAGTCATCCCTGTTTTCTCAGTCAAAGATGAGAAACTCTAATAGCTCAGAGTCCCAACATGAAGACCTTGCAGTGAGTGTGGATTGCATAGACAGGCTTATAGCAGAGGCAGAGCAGAGGAGGAGAAGGCATGATAAAAGTGAAGGGAGAAAGTGACACAGAACAATAGACTTGGAGAGGAGTTAAGTATAGAAACCTACAGAGGAAGAACCACAGGTCACTGCTTCACAAGCTGCTCAGTCAGCTAAGCACAGGTCCTATATCAGCCTCCTGTTTCAGTACTCTGTTTCTGATTACATGAACAGCACTAGAAATTTGGGCCCATGGTAATATGCAGACTCAGGAATTTCTTGTCATTCTGAGTTGACCTCTTTATAGCAGTATATATAACAAAAGTACCTAGCAAAGGTATCTGTATATCTTTCTAGGAAATTTATTCTTCAGACTTAAAGGATTACTGATTTTTATTTGATCAGTTCTTTTTAAAATTATCTTGGAACCTAGAGGTTTTTATTTCATAGCTCTATTTTGTATACTTAGTAGTGGTCTAACTTACTTGGTGAGTCAGTAGTAGAAGGGTAAGGTGGGGCCTTCAGTTTGCCGTAGAATCCTTAGGTTTTACTACTTGACCTCCATATTATTCCTTAATTCCTGTTATTGTATCTACAATAAGGGATACAAGGTTAGAACTTAAGTGGCTGCAACCTGAGTACTATTAAGAATTCAATGCATAGAGCCTATTGATGGCAGGACTGTAGCATCTAGCACTACTTTCATAAATGAAGAATATCTTTTTCTTACAAGGCAATCAATAACTGCCTGAGAGTTAGCAGGAATAAAATGTAAGCTTCTGGGGTTTGTTCTCGATTTGCTCCCCAGTTTTAGTGGAAAGTTAGAAATTGATTTGATTTTAGAAAAGAGGTTTAATACCTGACAATTCAACTGTCTTCAGAGCTCCTTAGAAGCTCTTTAAGAACTGCTCTTCTCTCCATAACTAATGTCCCTTGATTCTGTGTGTAGCATGGATTTTACTGATGAACCGAAACAGTTATCCTTCCAAAGCATTAAATAACTTGTTCTTTTGAAGGGCAGCTTGAATTTTAGTTATTGCTGTCCCTCTGACTGGCAACTTAAACCTGGGACTGTTTTATTCACGGGTCTTGGAAATCATGTAGTCTAAATAACTTGACTTCTAAATTCCTGTTTTGTAATCCAGTGTCTCTAATGATAAGCTGCATAATCTATAGAATGAGGAATATGAATCAGATTTGCTTACTGATCTTTCATACAGTTGAACTAATGACAAACTTAAAACATCTCTTGCAAGATATCTCTAGGCCTCTTGTTTTGCTGAAGTGCAGTTGTTTCTCACGTAAAATATTCTATACTGATACAATGTTTTTAGCTCATCTCTCTTCACTCCTCTTGGACAATATTAGAGTAGTACACTCAGGTTTGTACTTGTTTGGGATCAGCAGTCAGGATTGTAAGGGGACTTGTGAAATACGAGCACTAGGAAAGGGGTGTTGAGCAGGCATCACAAGGAAGATGAGATTAAATCTTCTTTAACATTTATTGTAAAACTTTGTGATTACCTGAGATAATTTTCTCCTGAGCATCCTGTGATAGCTACTGTGTAGTCTCTGTTTTAGAGTGAATGTTGTCATTCTGATGACACATATATTTTATGTTTATATACAAAGGAGTCCAATGCGATCATTCAGCTGGTCAGCCTTAACATTCATAAAAGATCTGTTTGATATTCAATTCACACTAAGAAAGGCTAACAAATACTTTTTTAAATGGTATTAAGCAAAAATGCCAGTGTAAGCAAAACAATTCTTTCAAAATTGACACCCAACTAAATACAGTTAGGGAGCAAATTCTTTTTGAGATTAAGTATGAATTGTTAATTGGAGGGCCAATATTTAGTATTAAATGACTTCAGTTATTGTTGACATTGTTTGTACTTTTACCTTTGTATGTGGTCAGCAAACAAGTTCCACAAGTTTAGAGAGAATCAAGAATATGCTGCATTATCTAAATAATGTAAAATAGCTAAATTCATGCCACCTTCCACCCAAAGATGTGGAGTTTTGAGCAATTTTTAAATCCCAGTGGGATTTAAATATGTGGCTATTGCTTGTGCATATTTAATAATTTCTAGTCTCTATTTAAAATCAAGTAGCCTCTTCCTCATTGACATCATTGTTTGTTTCAAGCAGTACTGTCCTCCTATGTTTTTGGATAGTCTCACCTCACCCTTAACAGCAAGCAGTACGTCTGTCACCACCACCAGCTCCCATGAAAGCAGTACTCATGTTAGTTCATCCAGCAGCAGGAGTGAGACAGGGGTCATAACCAGCAGTGGAAGTAACATTCCTGACATCATCTCATTGGACTAACGGAGGACTCACTTGATTCTGGGAATCACTCATCAGAACTGCTTTTTCTTGGATTTCTAGTCTTTGGAAACTATTTTTTTTTTTTAACGATTTGTTATTTATTGAAAGTCAAATGGATTCTTTTGCTTTCTGAGGTGAACACAGAAGACTGAAACAAGAACCAAATGACATGCAAGGATTTTTCTTAATCATACTGTACTCTCAGCATCAGATACATTCAGCCATAACTGTATCTTCCTGAGAGATGGATTTCACTTTCGTACATTAATGGATGGAGTCTACAAATCAGTGAAAAAAAGTTTTTGTTATAATAGAGCAATAAATTATGTAAATATTCAAGTAAACTTTTTTCTAATTAAAAAAAAAAAACATTGTAACCACTGATTCTAGAATGACAGCCAATTCTGTTTAACCTTATATGAAGGAAAAAAATATATGGAAAGAACTTACGTTTGCTGAATGAGTCCTTTCCACGGAGATCTGTTCTGTTTCATTGAAGTAATGAAGTTTCAGTAAGTGGCTTTGGGTTCCACTTTTCTTCCTGCAGTTCCACTTTTCTTCATGATCCCATCAAAGAAAAAATGGCATTTGTGTTATGTGTTTTTTTCCTGGTTATCATTTACGCTTTGATGTTGTTTGCTAATTAATGCTGTGTGAAGTTCTGGAATTTGGCTACTCTTCATTGGTGATTATGTTTAAGAGCACTATGCAGATTCTGCCCTGACATAATGTGTATTATTATATTTTTAGTAACTGTACACTCTTCATTCTGGAGTTACAAATTTGAGGCTTACCTTCTCAAAAAAGAAATTCTATACAGCCATTGAATGAAATGTCTTTGAGGTACGGTATGACTGGAATGTTTGTTAGAAATTTGTTAGCACTATCAAATATTGATATCTGGAAGCCAGCAGAAGAGCAGATTTTGGGAGGTGGTAATAACAAAATGTAATTTCTTCCCAGGAACTGAATTTGCTCATTTATTTCACAGAATAGTAATCAAATATTTGTTAAAACTTTGTATTTTGGTAGCACTAACATAGAAAATGTGTTTTAGATTTATGATCATATTTCTCACCAGTGTAATTTCAGTCTCAGCAGAGATTTTCAAACTTAGGGAAAGGGACAGCGTTAGAATTCTTTTTCATTTTTTTAAGAGGAAATCTTCCCTGAAACCACAAAAGACAAAAGAGAATTAGAAATGTTTGAATTAAAGTGGAGAAAGTTTGGGGAGGATGGGCCTGAACCCACTACCTGTCTCAATCCATGCTACCCCAAACACTCCAAGGAACCTCTGAGGTTTTATTTGGTGCACTTTGAAAATTTATCTTCTATAGTGTGTGTGTTTGGTTTTAAATCACACAGAAAACTGGGTTTTACTCTTAGAGAAACATTTTCATCTAAGTTTTACAGTTTGCATCATTTGACCTCCTAAATCATTTTTGAGTTCACAAGGATTTAGTACTTTTCTGTTTAGCTTTCTCTCTCTAAGCTTTATCTACCTTAAAAACAAAGTCCTTTTTTTGTTTTTAATGGCCAGTCTAACCAATTGATCTCTCAAACTGAAGTGCCCAGGTGAGGACTCTTCTATTTCAGTTAGAATAGGGATGTAATACTTAAGAGTTGGTACAACTCCAAGGAGCTGACTTGTTTTTGCTTGTTGTTGTTGTGTCCTTTTTTTTTTCCATCTTCTCAAGTTTCCATGGCCTTTGTGTGCTCTTTTTACATTGATTTAATTTCATGTGGTTTTCCATATCATCCATTCTTTGGCTACACCGTCTCCTTATTCAGTGGATTATCCCTTTGTGGGGACTGCTTATTTTAAAGACTTGGGGGGGAAAGCCCCAAATCTTCCAATAGTAGTTGCACCATTGTTGCCAGTTTTACCTTCTTAGTCATTACATTTCCAAGCCATGTTGAAGTTTTTTGGTCCAGATATAGTATTTCTTTCTAATAAAATTTTATTTTGCTGCCCTAAATACAGGTGCAATTTCTGTTGACTCTGTAATCAGATAGAAAATGTTTAATGTGATTTGTGTGGTATAATTTGTTAATAAAGAAATGATGTATATTTGTTATTTTGTTATGCTTTAGATTGTCAGACTCCCCCAATTTAATGAACAAAGCTTTATAAAGTAAATGAGAATATTAATAGAAATTAGTTTATTTACTTGGTTCTTATAACTGATACCTCTGTGCTTTTGTAATTGTGATTTTTTTTTTTTCTTTTTCTGTGAACAGTTTTAATGTTCAGTTTTGGAGTTTTACACTGAAATTACATATAAATTTTTAATTTATCTCATACAGGCAACTAGCATTTTAAAAAATATAGTTGGAGGCTGGGTGCAGTGGCTCACACCTGTAATCCCAGCAATTTGGGAGGTCAGCGTGGGTGGATCACCCAAGGTTGGGAGTTTGAGACCAGCCTGACCAACATGGAGAAACCCTGTCTCTACTAAAAATACAAAATTAGCTGTACGTGGCAGTGCATGTCTGTAATCCCAGCTACTCGGAACACTGAGGCAGAATCACTTGAACCTGGGAGGCGGAGGTTGTGGTGAGCCAAGAGTGCCCCATTGCACTCCAGCCTGGGCAACAAGAGTGAAATGCTGTCTCTAAATAAATAAATAATACACTTTGAAGTTTATAATCTTAAAATTGGGGCTTACATTGTGTATCTGTCTTTGGACATTAGTACTTTATGCCTTTGGCCTTATGACAAAGACATAATCATGACGGTTAAGCCATCAGCCTTTAATATGGTCCCTGTTTCTGTCCAGACCCTGACTTTCTAGTAGTTTATTTTTCTAGCCCAGATTTCTGCTCAACCAAATATAAGGGAATTTCAGAGGGGTCATCTTAGCTGTCACCTACATTCTGTCAGCCAACTAGTGATTCTCTGGAATGTCTTAGGAAAGGAACAGTAATTGTCAGTCTTCTAAAGTCAAATTTTTTTATCTTTTTCACTTAGAAATATGAAGGACTTTTCTTGCTCTGGTAACCCCCCACAGTGTAATTGGTGCTGAAAATAGCTTTGTGCCTGAGGTCTGCTTTCACTCACTTTCTGACCTTTAGATGAGCCACTTCAGGGTTTTCTGGCCAGAAGTTATAAAAACTTGGCATCTATCCTAAGATAATTGTAAAGGCAAAATCAAAGCATTGAGGTGAATTTAGGTTATATGGCACTTATCTGGTAATGTGTTTCAGAAAAGTTAGAATGAAAATATGCATGGGTAAGGGATAGTGAGTATAAGTTGATTTGTAATTCTTGGTATAAAACTCGAGTTTTTCTTAGTCTTGAGGAATTTGAAGAAAGGTAAAATGTTGGATTTTAAGTGAAGTAGGATTGAACAGGGACTGTTTTGACTTGGACATTCAGACCTTTCAGACACTGAACACCATTTCTAACCAAGTTGTCTTCTGCCAATAAAGTATTCATTAGTTGACATTTGTTTGTATTTTAAGTAAAGTCAATTTTTTTAGAGCATTAATTTCACAGGTATGCCTTTCATTTCTCTAGCCTTCAGTTGGTAAAAAAAGCACTTAGCTGGTCCATTCTTTCTTTAGTAAACATTTTTATTTTCTTAAATTTTCCTGCAAGGTTTTCTACATTTTCATGGAATGTCATAATGGCATTACCATTATTTTCCAGCTCTTCATCTTAAAAAAATGTAGAGCAGTGCACCGTTTAAACATGTCTGACACTGGATTTAGTGGTCCTGCGTCCATGTGATATGGGAGCTTTAAGTTGTCATTTAGATTGATGTTTGGTAATTCAACCTGATTCATCATCTTTTTTACTACAGTTCTAAATGAATGTGGTGAAACAGGTAGAAAAGAATTAACCGTTTCTCTGCTTTTTGAATCTAATGCTCCTGCCAAGTGTCTGGTTTGTAACACCCCCCCCACACACACTTTTTTAGGAACCTGCAGTTCCTAAAAGAAATAAAGCTGTATAAAATGTCCATTCTTTAATGCTTGCCTGGTTAAATAGTGTTTGTTTTTTCTGTTTATGTCGATAGTACATGCTCATTGTGGAAAATTTAGACAATACAGAAAAGTGTAACAATTGACTATAATTCTGTTACCAGAAAAAAATCACTTTTGCTATTTTTGCATATTCCTTGCTAGTGTCTTTGCTACTTCTGCATATTTTTACATAGTTTCATCATTCTCAGTGTAATATGTATCTTGGGGTTTCCCCCTCAATCTACAGGCATTATTCCATGTCATTAAAAACTGTGTCAACTATTATTAATTTTATGGTACTCCATTGTTATGGATGTGCCATAATTCATATAACGTTTCCCTATTTTGAAGAGTTTAGATTGTATCTCATATTACCACAGTGAATGTTTTTGTGTATAAATTTCTTTCTTAGGATAAAATCCTGGAGGTGGACGTTTTGGTGAAGGGTATGAACACTTTTATAGTTCTTGATTCATATCACTTTTCCGAATGGGTATGCTAATTTGTAGTCCAACTAGATGGTATAAGAAGAGTGGTCTAGCCATAGTTTCCAAGAACATACAACATTTTATCTTTATGCAGGCATCACACTAAGACTTGCCCTTCTGATCCTGTGGAACAGGGTTAACTAATTTGTAGATCAAAGCCAGAGACTTTCCCAGGCTTTCTTAGTTTTAAATATATCTGACATGGGCTGGGCACGGAGGCTCACGCCTATAATCCCAGCACTTTGTGAAGCCACGGTTGGTGGATCACCTAAGTCAGGAGTTCAAGACCAGCCTAGCTAACATGGTGAAACCCCATCTCTACCAGAACTACAAAAATTAGCTGGATGTGGTGGCAGGCACCTATAGTGCCAGCTACTTGGGAGGCCAAGGCAGGAGAATCGCTTGAACCTGGGAGGTGGAGGTTGCAGTGAGCTGAGATTGTGCCACTGCACTCCAGCCTGGGTAACAAAGTGAGATTGTCTCCAAAAAAAAAAAATATTTATGTATATTAAATATATGATATATATGATCTGACATATTTCAGAAGCACATATGGCTATCCAACCTTTTCACATGATTTTTCTTGCACTGTAAAGTTGCACAAATATTGTCAAACTGTGTTTTCCATTTTTAGTTCAAAAATGATGTCACTTTTTAAAAAAGTCGTTTGTACCTAGGGCCCACCCTTAGAGATCAGCTCTCTTTTTCCTCTTCTTGTAGGTCCCATTATGGTCTTTCTAAGCTCCCCAAAGGCAGTAGAATCTACTGAGCCGAAGGCATTTTGTCCCCAAACTGAAGAGTGGTAAGGCTAAAAACTATAAAAACAGGCAAACATTACCTGTTTTCACTTTGTATTCCCTTGTGTTTCCAGTAAGTGTAGCTGCGGGGAAAGAGAAAACAGATTGCTATCTTCAGATGTTTGAGGCACAACATTTTCTTGATTGGCATAGCACAATCATTATTTCCCAAACTACTTCCTATTTCTGAATGGCTTTTTAAAAAAGCTGTGTGTTCTCAAAGCTTAATTCTTTTAAGTGACAGAGTGTTAACTGTTTTATAAAATAGAATACGCCTCTTATTTTGGCCTTCAGACTTTTATTCAGAGTGTTCTATGGGTACATGTGGGATAGAGTGTTATAGAAGTTTTGGTTCCAGACATCAGGCAGCTTATAATTAAGGTTCCAAAAATCAATAATTTTTAGGTTGGGCATGGTGTCTCATGCATGTAATCCCAGCACTCTGGGAGGCCAAGGCAGGCAGAGCACTTGAGGCCAGGAGTTTGAGACCAGCCTGGCCAACATGGTGAAACCCCATCGCTACTAAAAGTACAAAAAATTAGCAGTGCATAGTGGCTCATGTCTGTAATCCCAGCTACTTGGGAGGCTGAGGGATGAGAATTGCTTGAACCTGGGAGGCAGAGGTTGCAGTGACTCAATAGTGTGCCATTGTACTCCAGCCGGGTGACAGTGAGACTCTTACTCAAAACAAAACAAAAAAAAACTTAGTGCAAAGAACTTTCCAAGAATGTCTCGTTCTTGCATTGCCTCCTCAGAGGAAAGTGGTGGTATTCCCCAATTTACAAATGAAACAGGTTTAGATGAGTTTCCCAAGGTCACAGCAAATGAGTAGTGAACTTGGGAATCTGACCTATACTTGCCCCAAAAGCCCTCTGCCTAAACTGAAGTGACATTAATTAGCTGTGCTATCTAGGAGACTGGTGTGAGAATCTAGACTTAATGAGAACTGTTTTCAGTTGATGGCCACCGTAATAAGGAAGGAGTGGATGCTGAAGCCATTTCAAAGGAAGACTCAAGATTCAGTGACTGAATATAGGAATAAGGTTTGAATCCATTTTTCAAGCCTGGGTAACTTGGATGTTAATGGCACTATTTACAGAGACAGGAGGCAGTTTAGAGTGAAGATGAATCATGTATAGGAGACAGTGATGAACTGAATGTTAAGCCTGGGATTTCAGAAAGGAAGCATCTGTGAGTCTCATTCCTGGTTTTTCTGCAGTCTTTAAAAGTACAAACCTCCCTTGTCATCCATTTTTGCTTTCATTTATCTCCATTCTATGTTAAGTTCTAGTCACCCCACCAGTCATCCATCCACTGCCTCCTTCCTAGGCTACGCTTGGCTACATCTTAGCCTTTTCTTTTGATTTTTCTCTTTACTGCCTTGCCCATATTTGGTTGCCACCTGAGGCCCTGCCATCCCCTACTGCTCACACCAGTGTGGGCTATGTTCACATTCTACATATCTCAATACAGTGATTGCTGTCTTTCCTCCCTACTCCATCGTAATGCCTCGTCAAAAGCCTCTGCCTCAGAAGCCCATGCCAAGAGGTTGTGCTATCAGCTACCTTTAGTCTTATAACTGCCTTATTACTCCCCTTTAATTGCTGGAGACTTCGGCTCATAGTGTTCCTTGCCGTCATGATTCTGGTGGTCATTCTTAATTATCTTCAGCATTCTATAGGTGATTTATCCAAGTTGGTCTGTAAGGTTTAGGTTACTTTACCTCCAACATTTTCTTCTCCTGAACCATGCCTTCTGTTTTCCTCTTTGCTACTTGTCTAGCTTCGACTGCTCTTTCATTATTGCAGCCTTGAGCAAAT